CACTGCACTATAACTGGGGTGACAGAGGGAGATCCTGTCTGAAAAACAAACAATAAAAAAGACAATTCTGTGCTAGAGGCAACACAGAAAATGAAAAGAACATAAACTTTGAAATCAGACAGACCCCAGCTCTACTTATAACTGGATAACCTTGTGTAAGTTATTTGAATTTTAGTTTCCTCATCTGCAAAATAGGGAAAATAAAACTGACTTCATGGACTTATCTGAAAACTAAGCTTAAAATATGTATATTTTAAATATATACACATATACATGTGTTTAAATAAACACCTACACATAGCTATATGTGTATCCTTATCTTATGCTAGAGGGCACTCAAAATATTGTTCTCTAAACAGCTTTCATTCATATCTAAGGAACTAAAATTAAAATAATCTTAATCTAAATTTTAAAAATTCCAAAAACATTATAGAACATTTACACACATACTGTATCTATTGCTGAAGTAAACTTTCAGTTTACTAAGAAATTTAACAAAGAAAAACTTATTAGTTCATTTGTACTGCGTTTAACTTCACAATAGTAAATTGTTAAAAGCTTTTTGTTCTAGTTACTACTCAGGTTAACTAAAGCATTGACTCAGCTTTGATAGTTGGTATAAATCACAGTATTTATGAAATTTAGACATACTTGTGCAAAAGCAACATTTCTTTAAAAATGTGCTGACTGAAAGGGGATTAAAAGGCATTTCTTTTTTTTTCACATGAGCAGCTTTTTATTATAAAACAAAACAGGTCTGTCTGTGTGAGTGGAGAGAGACAGACTGACTCACTAACTTACTAACTAACTTGCATAGTCAAGGAAAACCTCATGGGTAAGGAACCATTTGAGCCAAGGCCTCAAGAGACCCATGTGAACTAGCATGCCAAAAATGAAATGGTAATCATCGCAGAAGACACTACACTGTTCGTTGTCCACCCAACATCCAGTCGTTCCTTGTGACGGGTTCAGGAAGCCAGGTGTAAGCCAATCAACACAAGGAAGTGCCCTGGTCACTGTCACTGGTCCAGGAATAGGCACATAAGCGAAGCTGGCCTAAGAAGAATTATATTTCTGTTTGGAGGAGGAGGTTTTTTCCCCCTGTCCTTGATGGATGTGAACAAGGAAGAATGTCGTCACAATTGTACAGGACTTGGTGACACAGCCATCTCTGGGCAACAAGGGAGGCCTGGAGACAGAGCCAATACAAAGAAGAGGGCAGAGCTGGGAGCACTGCAGAGAAAAGGAGTCAGAGCCCAGATTATTCCATGCCTGGAGCCTGCTGGTCTTCAAGACTCCCCATTATGTGCAATGAAGAATCTCCTTACTCTTCATGCCAATTCGAGTTTGGTTTTTTATTCCTTAGTGTTTAAAAGGCTCTTGACTACGAAAATAAAAATAATAGCAGCCAACATTTCTTGAGAATTGCCTTGTGCCTGGCACATTCTTTATATTTGTAATTTTGTTTAATGTTCTTGACAGTTTTATAAGGCAAATACACCATTGCCCTTATTTGTAAAATGTAAGTGATTTTGTTCAAGGTCATGTGTGTAGTAAGTGGCAAACCAAATCTCTTTTTGTTTGTTTGTTTGAGACAAAGTCTCACTCTGTTGCCCAGGCTGGAATGCAGTGGCATCATCACAGTTCATTGCATCCTTCAACTCCTGGGCTTGAGTGATTCTCCTGCCTCAGCCTCCAGAGTAGCTGGGAACACAAGCATGCACCACCATGCCCGGCTAAGTTTTCTATTTTCATGGAGATGGGGTCTCACCATGTTGCTCAGGCTGGTCTTAAACTCCTGGGCTTAAGCGATCCTCCCACGTTAGCCTCTGAGTCACTGGCATTATAGGCAGGAGGCATCCCATCTGGCAAAACCAAAATCTTTCAGAGTTCAGAGCCTGTGCTCTTAACCACCATGATGGTTCCACTGATAGATGAGGCAGAGGACAAGAAAGAGGAAGGAGCTTGTGAAGAGGCCACAGGAAGAACAGGGGACGGTGACATTATTATTAATTTTAAAATTATTAATATATATTCTTGTTCTCTCCACCTGGAATACCTCATCCCTGGGACACCTTTCCCCATGCCCACTTCTCTGCCTAGGAACTTCTATTTGTTCTTTAAGAACCCACTCAGATGTCATCTCCTCTGAGGAGCCTTCCCACATCCCATCTCCCCAAACCTCCAACCCCCTGGAATCCCCCCAAAATTCATTGATATTTCTATTATAGCCAAAGTTATATTATAAAGTGCTCATTTTCATACCTCCTCCTTGTACTAAATTCAGAACTCCTTGAGGGCAAGGAATATGTCTAATTATTCCTCATGGTTCCAGTGCTTAGCTCAGCTCATTGTAGGAGCCCAGGGAAAGTGAGATTGAATGAATCAATCATCACACCTCAAGGACCCTCTGTCTTACCAGGCATCATGCTAAGAGATGTAAAGTTAAAAAGATCAGGCCTTTGGCCCCTTAAAGTTCATAAACAAATTGAGGATGTGTTCCTATCTTTCAGTTCTACATTTTATAAACTCAACACAACTAGCTTAAAAGGAAAAAAGAATGTGGGCAGGGGACAGAATTTATTTGTCCTAGGCAGGTGACTTCTATTAATAGTTTCGAGAATAGATGAATCCAAGATCCAAGGGTTTCCAACAATGTTATCCTCCAGATTAGGGCTATTTCTATAACCTGCTCTTGGGTGGCTTCATCCTCAGGAATTCTTTTTTCCATGTGAAAGCCCCTCATAGCTCCATGTTTACATCCAATTGTAGCAAAAATAGAGCTTTTTATGCCAATGGTCCTAGCAAAAGTTCTAGGAGTAATTCTCAATGCTTTTAATTGAGTCACCTGCCCTTCACTGAACCCATAATAGTGACCCTGAATAGGCCTATGTCTCATGCCTACCTCTGGATTTGGAAGTGGGGTTGACCCCATCCAAATCATATGGATTAAAAGTGAGGGAAGGTTGTTCACCAGAGGAAAATCGAGTTGCTGTTACTAAAAGGGGGAAAAGACATTCGGCAAGCAAAAACCAACACATGTCCTCCATGGAGGACATGTCCTATACATCAGTAATTATATGGTAAGGCTACGAGTGATGCCTGTCTTAAGTGCTTACAGTCAAAGATTAGGTGGGAGAAATGTATCACCTCAAGGACAGCTGTCTACAAACACCTTCTAGGAGGAAGCTTAGGAAGTACACCTTTTGGATAGGTAGGATTGTGCTAGATGAAGATGAGGAGGCCTTTCAGATATGTGGAAAGGCATGAACAAAGGCAGGGAGGTAAGGATCCTCTGGAGGTTTTCCAAGTTGGCTGGAAACTTTTGGGAATTAAGTCTGGAACTTTGGTTGGGACCTAGATTTATATATAGTCTAATAAGTGCTAATCCTTTATGCAGATTTCTTCTATATATGATCTCAAAAAAGAGTAATTTTAGCAGGCACCAGAAGTAGGATTATTCTTTCCATGTCACCGATGGGGCAAGTGAGGCCTAGTGCAAGAGATGCCTGCTGAGAGTCCACCCTCTTGCGCCCAGAGACCTAACAGCACAAGAAGCCCAATTTCAGCCCTTCAGCCCAGGACTGTGCCCCTTCCCCCATCCACAGTAAAAATCTGGGGTTGGAAATTATCAGGACAGCAGCTGTGGCTCAGCCCCAGGGCTAGCCTGAGGACACCTTTTGAAGAAGCTGTGGGAACAACCATTTAAGCAGAAAGAAGATATCTGACTTGCATAATGGCTAAGAGCAGAGACTCTGGAGTCAGGCCTGGATTTTGGTTCTCAGTTTCATGAGTTAAGGTGTTACCTTGGGCAGATTATATAATTTCTTTAAGCCTTAGTTTCCTCATCTGTAAACAAGGTAAAGAACAATATCTATGTTTTAGGATGGTTCATGAGGTCTGAATAAGCTATTGCTTATTAAGAACTTAGCACTCTCTTCCTCGTGCAGTCTGGTCTCCTCTTTGGTCTGGTTCCCTCTTCCTCAGCATCTGGTCTGGTCTCATCTCCTCTTCCTCATCTGGTCTGGTCTGGTCTCCTCTTCAGATCTGGACTCTTCCTCCTCCTCTGGTCTGGTCCTATCTCGTCTCCTCTTCCTTATCCGGTCTCGTCCTACAAGGCATTTTTAAGTACCTAATTCCTTTTTGGAAATAGAGAATGAGCTCAATCATAAGTGAATTTTCTGATTGTCTATGCCCAGTTTAAACTCCTCATCTTATAGGTAACATAAAAGTTACAGAAGCCAGGCTCAGTGGCTCATGTCTGTAACCCTGGCACTTTAGGAGGCCAAGGCAGGAGGATCACTTGAGGCCAGAAGTTTGAGACCAACCTGAGCAACATAGCAAGATCCCATCTCAAAAAAAAAGTTTTAGAAAGATAGTGTCACTTAGTATGGATGTTAATTTTGAGCTACCTCTGGAATAGTGCCCATGAACTACTTAAAGGATAGAATACACTCTTTAATTAAGGCAAGCTCCTTTTTTTCCCAAAACATTACTATTTGTTCAGCAAAAGATAAATATTTATCAAATGCTTAATAATTAAAATTATTATTAATTATATTAATATTAATTAAATAATAATTACTTTAGAATCTGGTTCCTTTATTGGGTTTGATTTGAATGAAAATAATGTTTAATATTTAATTTTTCTCTGTAATTGATAAAAAAAAGGTATTCCTAATTGGAAGTTCCTTTTCCTAACCACTTATTTATAAATCTTAGAAAAAAACTGATGTGAACTTTGCTCTGCTACTTTAAGCCCTGCGAGTCCTGAGGTTTTAGAAGCCAGGAAACAAAGCGCTCTGTCCTGGTTAAAGAACATTTTGTTGGGATTTTGTACATGAACAAACAAGCAAGTAATTAAATTACAAAAGCAGCACCTTGTCTTTTATGTTAAGAATAATTTTCTATACTGTAGCCATTTTCTCCTTGAATAACCTTTTGTTTTTGTCTGCAAACCTTGAAACACAATCTGGTTTCATTGTTTTTCAACTCGTTAGTGCGCTGCTGGTCGTGCAGAAGGTTTATCCACGTGTCACAACTAACGAAGGTTTCAGAACCCTCCAGAAGTCTGTTAAACATCTGCTGTACACTCTGGACTCCCCAGCTCAAGGTATTATATTTCCATCTTCCTGTATTAAATTCGGTGTCACAAAGCCCTTTGGAAATATAAAGCAGAGTGCAACTGGAGTAATCATGTAGAGATGATATTATTCTTAGGTGGGGACATATGCTACGAATAAATCTGGATCTCTAGTTAATCAAAGGGTGGAGAAAGGGACAAATGAGGGAAAAAAAAGGGATGTGCAACTTTCTAAGGGTTTTATTTAGGTGAAATGATCTCTCTTAGCTTGTAAAAACTGTTTATACTTGATATAGAAAATAAATATTGGGGAATAAGCCTCAACAAACAGATTTCTACCACTACTTTTTGGAACAAGAGACTAAACTGAATTGCAGTGGTTTTGCCCCCATTTCCACACTTTGATCTTTTAATCAGGAGGAATCTTTCCTTTGTAAACGTATACTACTCAGTCAGCCATCTTGAACAGGCATGATGAGCTTCAGCACACGAGCGGATCAGTATAAACCCACTGTTGCCCCAGTGAGACAAGGTATACCAGGTTGCTAGTGAGTCAGAAGATGTGCCTTTGCCATATATCGATTCAGCCTTACCTACCTCTCACGTGGAAACACAAACAGATATGTACACAGAGACAGGCAAAGGTTTAGGGATGTAAGGAACAAATCCCTACTTGCCAAGTGAAATGTTCGGTTAACATTTACGTCTCCCGAATAAATGGTAGAATATGCTTTCTTAACTGAGTTTGTCACCTTTTAAGTATATAAAATCCTTTGGATTACAAAGTAAGCATACTGAGAACATCAGGTCAAAAGCTGATTATTCATTATATAGTCTTAAAATATCAATTTTCATATGAAAAACACATTTGTGAAGGCTTAGAAGAATCCTCACTATAGGGTCCAACATTCTCTTGGATACCAGTTTCTATTACCCTGGAGCATTTTTTTATGTCTACAATTATAGAATTAAATGATTAGTTAAATTTAACAATCTTGACAAACTTTAGAAATAGAGGCTTACTCTTAAAAAAAAAAAAAAAAAAGTCCAGGCTAGGAAACCAGACAGTACACTAACAAACACTAATTATTTCCTCCATATTCTTTTTATGTTTGCATCTTAAAGGCTTGGGGAACTTCACATTTCTCTTCACCATTCTTTTCCTTTTCATCTTCAGACTCACACCTTATGATAGATATAAAGTGATAAATTTTTTTGAACAAAGGACAAAAACTCACCAGTGTCTTAGAAGCTAGAGAAATAAGCAGCACTTCTTATTAACTAGGCAGCAAAATACTTTCCCTGGTGAACAGTAGACTTCAGTTTTCAATAGTTAACAACGGCCTTGACTTAGGTCTGTGAATATGCTAATGATTTTGGCAAGTATCCAAACACATTTTTGGTGGTCAAGATGACAGGGAAATGCACCAAGGACATGTATTTTTATCTGTAAAATTTAATATGTTTAACTTTTGTTTGTTTTTATATGTCATGAACTTGTGACTTCATAAGGCTGGGGATAACAATGCAGATGCATTAATGTCAGTTCCTAAAAGTCATTAAACCCAAACCCCTACTTGCTTGAACAGAAACTTTTATTGCCTTTGAAACAAAATCCTCCCAGATATTTCTGGGAATCCTTCAGGGAACTCAAACTTGTCACTGAAAGCTGCACCACTGATTCCAGTTCAACAGTGCAGAGGTCTGGCCCCACGTGCACGTACCTGCCCCATCGCCCAGGCCATCCCATGCTTAGTCTTCATGGTGTTCAGCAGTATTTTTGAAGCGAACATACTTTCTCCGTTGATTTTATACTCTGTTATGCTGAAGTGGGATGGTATGTCATAGTGTAATTTCTTGGGACCTCTGTAATGTATCATGGGGTGAAGATAGCTTTGTGGGTCTCATTCCCCTCTTAAAAATAAGGAAAATAATAGGTAGTATTTATTGTGTCAACTCTGAGTGTTTTATTATCTTAAATTCCTCTTATCATTAAAATAACTCTGTGAGATACAGTTGTTATCCCATTTTACAGGCAAAGATACTGAGGCATGAAGGGGTAGGCACTTTGCCTATGTTACATGGCCAGCAAGTAGTTAAACTGAGATTAGAATCTGGGTATGTCCAGTCCCAAAGCCAGGTCCCCTGAGCTCGTTTATAGATGGCCTCACTTACATTTTCTTTCTGGGGCATACATACACTTGCTTCTAGGGTATCTCACTGGGCCATGCAAGTGCCTGGCTGACCTCAGAACTGTGCCCACTTCCACCCGCTGCTGGAGATCGGCCTCTCACGCCCTACTCCTTCCCACACTATACATCTTTTCGGAGCCATGCCCCATTCCTTTCTACACTCTGCTTCCCACACACCTCCCCCACCCCGTGCCGATGTCTGCTCCAACCTGAATTATTTGCACACTGCAAGGTGTCTTCAGAAGCTTTCTCACCAACTGTGAAAATACGGAGATGCTAATAAACACTGGAAAATAAGGTTGTCTCCTCACTTCCTGCCTTAAGGGATCTAATTCTCAGCTTTGTCCCAGGTAGGATCCCTGTTACACAGTTAGTAAGCTCTAGTATTTTCATTTATAAATGCTGAGTTTGGGCAGCAGAGATTACCCGTGTGACTCATTGGAATTTGCTCTTTTGCAAAGTAGTAAATTATATTAAATTATATTTTTTAAATAGAAAGCAATTCTTTTTGAGGAAAAAAGGTTATCCATGCACTAGATTTCTTTCTATGTCCATAGGTACCATTTTAAATATGCCTAATCCTACAAATAAAAAAAGAAGTAAAATATCACTTTTTAAATCTCTTTCTACTTCATAAAGGCCTGTTTAGTACAGTGTTTCTTTCAAGATACTTGATAGTCCTCTGTGGCTAGAGGGAAAATTCCCTAATTAACCTTAGCGTCAAGTCTATCATTGAGAATATAAAGTTGATTTTCTATTAATTACTTATTTTAATAGCTTGATGAAAAGGAGAAATTCCATCACCACTTAGTATACAAATGTCAATTAACTTGCTCAGCATCACATAGGAGTTCAAAATGAGCAAGATTTGATCTTGGAAAAATAGTTTTATATACTTTTACATTGCAAAAGCACAAATCTCAACAGATTTCTGTCTTTGGTTATTCTATATGTGGAAGCCAATAAATAATAGGTATTATTATTATTAATTAGGTTTATTTATTCTGGACATCTTCATTCTTGGTCCTTTTGCCCGCTGATGCATTGCTATCGTTAGAGCAATAATACTTCGCTCTACCTTGGGCACAGCTCTGGAAAACTCCACTCTGCTGAACAAGACAACTGAACAAGACAACTCCCACTGCACAAGTTTCTAGGGGCCACACAAACATTACTTAAACATGACTGATATAGGAGAGACACAAGGAAGCTTTTGATTCTGGGATAGTCTTTTTTACACACATGATAAACTTAATCTAAACAATCAGCATCAGAAAAGCATAGATGATTGCATAGTTTTTGCTACAACTTTTAAAAAGGCTTTAGAATGCACTAACTAGAGACAAGAGAAGAACTACTAAAACTGGTAATAAAATACCCCATTGACAGATATTAGGCCTATGTTAAAAATGACAGCATTGAAATATACTGGATCATTGATAAGGAATGAGTAAAGTCTAAAGAGAAGACTAAAATAAGAGAGACTATTTCCCTGAAGAAGCCAAATTAAAGCACTGGATTTATGGTGCTTTTATTTATGCATTGTCCATTTAAAGCATTTTTGTTTTCAATTTTTCATGTGAATGCTGTTGCACACTTGAATCAACAACACATTTAACTTCAACGATGTTTGGATTAGAGTGGTTTCCATTAGACCAAACTTAGTGATTGCCTTCCACACTCTACACCTTCATATTATTTGAGACCACTCAGAACAGGTCTGTTAACATTAGTCAATTTGCATTCACAGCTGCATTCAATTGAGATCACTGGCTGCTTTTTGAAAGATAGAAAATATAGATTAGTGATGGCAGATGTTTCCTAAGGCTACACTCTAGACAACTGAAGGCAAAAAATATCCAGTGACCCATAAGACTAAAATTGGCTTCATTTGATTAACAAATTGTGTGTAGTCAATCTTCATTATAGTATTCAAGAGTCAGCTATGTATACAGGTCTTGGGATAAAATAATGTAGTGTTTTGGTGCACGGAGAAAGAATTTGTTAGAAATGCATGTTCTTGACTATTGAGATTATTTTGATTAATAGGCATCTATTCCCTGGAACTATCCTAAATGTTTCTAACAAAAAAGCATAAATGTCTTTTGTAAAATTCTTTGGAGAAAGATTCTACAGATTTCTGCATTTTTCTCCCCGTTAATTTGACCTGGGATGATCTATGCTGGGGAAAAAATCTTTAAGCAAACATGTTAAAACTGTTTACCTATATAAATATTATTACTTTAGGTGATAATATAACACAAGAGTGGAATGAAGATGATGGACAGATGTTATCTCCAAGCAGTCTGGCTGCACAGTAAGTCTTTGTTTATTTCTAAATTGGTAAGTAATGTGGTCAAATAAACAATCAAAACAGTTAATAAGCATAATTCTCTTACTAGTGTGTAAAACCATGAAATCCAAAAATCAACAACTGAGTAAAGGAAAGGACATAGTTGAAATGTCATAAAGTTGAAACTTACTTGTTTTTTTTTGGTATTATTTCATGATATTTGTGGATAATACAACATGAAGATCATTTTTTCAGTTATAAGATTGCATAACTAAATGTAATCTGTCATGTCTGGCTTGGTTACCTTGTGCCTGTGAGGAGAATCTAGCTGGAGGTCTAGTTGCCAACTCTTTTAAGGTCTTTCACCATGAAAAATGTATGAGCATCTGTCTTAGTCTGTTCAGGTTGCTAAAACAAAATATCATAAACCAGGCAGATTATAAACAATAGAAATTAATGTTTCATAGTTCTGGAGGCTGGAAAGTCCAAGATCAAAGCATGAGGAGACTCAGTGTCTGGGGAGGGCCTACTTTTTGGTTCACAGGTGGCCATGTGAACCTTGCTATGTCCTCACATGGTGGAAGGAGCAAGCCAGCTCTCTGGGGTCTCTTTTATAAGGGCATCAGTCTCATTCATGAGAGTCCTGCTCTCATGACCTATTCACCTCCCAAAAGTCCCACCTACTGGGGGTTAGGAGTTTAACACATGAATTTGAGGAGGGCACAATTCAGACTCTAGCAGTATCTTATTTTTCATATTACTATTTCTTTTGGTTTTTAAAGAATCAAAATATTTTGTAATGCCCAATCAAGGTAATGCAAAATTTGTTTGCTATTAATGATATTCAGATAGGCAAAACTGTTTATAGGTAACAATTTTGGACTTTTATTGGGATATCTAAAGTCCCAGGAATAGGTAGTGGAAATAATAGCAGGAACAATGGTGTCTCAAGACCATTAATGTAAGCAAGTCCTTGAAGTCACTGTAATAATGATGGTAGGAAATGCAGCAGTAGCTGATTGAGGTAAATTCCTGTAGTTCAAGGCAAATTTAGAGACTAGAGGGCCTGTTAAGTAAAGGTTGCTTTAGCCTGTACCTTATACTATTGAATTTTTTTACTTTAGTCCCAAAGGGTATATTTTTGTGCTAATGAAAAATTTGTACAAATAGCAGTACTTATTTTTCAACCATTTATTTCTTTTTCTAAAATAGAATCTATGTAGTTGTTTGTAAACTCTCTATTATTTAATGAGTTCTCCAGCTCTGAGTAAATTCTAGGCAAAATCCTTACATAAACGACCACCTCCTGTTTTTGCTTCATTTCCCTTGTTTGCCAAGGTGGCTAACCCAGGTGCTCCTCTCTTGGGCAATTTTCCCTTAGCCCGGCTGCCAAATTTCAAGTAGTTGTGTCTTTTAAACATCCTAGACAGCCATCAAAATAATAATAAAAAATACCTTTAAATTGAGATGGCTGGATGCTTATTGCTGAAGCCAGGTATGTCTATCAGAGCCTGGGGCACCCATAGCGTTGCCAATGCCAGCACCACAGACCTGCAAACTCCACAGCAAATGTAGTTAGCTGCTGACAGCTGGCTGACAGTTTATTAGGAAGAATTCAATACTTTTAGGATGGCTCTTGTTGTGATTGATGAAATTAAGGTATTTCTTATCTTCAGATTTCCTTTCCATTCCTGCTTTAAAATAATTACAGAGTGGCAGTCCGGGCATAAGATAGAAGTTTTTTGGCCCAGAATTTTCTAAAGGGAGCTACTCAAAAACACTTTTCCCTCATAGCTCTTCCCTTTCCTCATTATTTTTGTTCTAAGGGCATTATTATCTTTATTGGTTTGTATTTGTGTGTGTATGTATGTATGTGAGTGTGTAGATTCATAAGCTTACCTTTTATTGTAAACACTCTTGGGAAGTAGGTAGGATTTTGTATAAAGGATGCATCAATTAAATGACTTAAAGGAGTAATTGAGTGCTTATCCAAAACAGTGGCACATAGATATGGAATTTTAATGTTGGGTGTATATTAAATCCATTCTCAAAAATCTTGGTAATCACATGTTCTTTATGTAACTTAGAGAATGTCTTAGATGATCTTTCAAGGTCAATTCTAGCCCAACTGTCCTCTATTTCAAGCTTGACAGTACACCACGGGAATATTTTATTCCAATCCATCTGGACGATTAGGCCAATATTTTACTATGAGCACTGCACCGGGGACAAATTGCTCTACGCTGTAATAGCTATGACAGGGAGGAGGACAAACATGAAAGAAGGAAGGGCAATGTAGGGTAGAGTGGGGAAAGGTGAGAGGGGTAAGGGAGAACCACCTCACTGAGGAAGGCGCACCACTCCATGCGTGCCCATCCGGAGATACCTCACTGGGCACTTCTCGGATAAATGGCCGGTATCTCTGCAGCTTCCTGTATCTCTTTTACTGCTGTATTTATTCTTCCAACAGCTGTGGAGTCTTTGATGTGCAAAACAGAAATGCTAGATATTCTGTGATAGGGATGGGGTCAGGGTAAGCAGGGAGTCAGATACAAAATTAAATGGATCATTCTTTCAAGTTGCTCACAGAAGAAATAAGTTTATCTTGGAACCTATATAGCTTATTACTATAGCCACATAAAATAAATGGATTATTGCCCCTCCCCATGGAAAAAAAAAATAGATGCAATAAATTTACAGTCATGCCCCTAATTCCATTGTTTCTTCTTTCATGTTTTGGCTTTTCAAATCCTGTCTTCCAGTTTATCTTTGCAATCTTATTTCTGACACTGCTCCCTACTTCCCTCTATATTCTTAAAGATATCATATATTCCAAAATGCTTGCTCAGGGCTTTTTGTCTTAGGTAGTGCTCTGAGTACAATGGTCATTATTAGATAGACCTTGACTTGACTTGATTCGACTTAACTCACTGATGTTATAGGTGGTGATAAGGTCCATGAAACTTGACGATATGCAGGCATGACTTGATATTATATGGGTAACCTGTACAGAAGGGTTAGTTTTGTCATATGTCACAATTTTGTTAGATTTTTAATAATTATGATGTGATTTAGAAAGTTGCCTGATAGTTTCTTTTAACTAGGACAGAAAACTTAATCTAAGAATATAATTTCCTGTCCTTTATTTGTGAATTGATAAGTGGAATGGATTATCTACAAGGAGGCTTTGATAAATAATAAGGCTAACTATCTAAAAGCTCAAAAGTCTAGGCCAGGTGCAGCTAATCCCTATAATCCTAGAATTTTGAGAGTTTAAAGCGGGAGGATCACTTGAGGCCAGGAGTTCAAGACCAGGCTGAGCAACACAGTGAGACCCCATCTCTACAAAAAATTTAAAAATTAGCCAGGCGTAATGGCACACATCTGTAGTACCAGGAACTACTCCAGAGGCTAAGGCAGGAGGATCACTTGAGCCCAGGAGTTTGAGGTTGCAGTGAGCTATGATCATGCCACTGTACTGTAGTCTGGGCAAGAGAGGGAGACCCTGTCTCAAAAAGAAAATAAATAAATAAGTGTAAAAGCTCCAAAGTCTGAGACAATCAAATATAGTGTTATTAAGAGTCTCTAGTCAAGGGATTGCCTAAGCAAAAGCAATAGGGTTTTTGGAATGGGTGCTATTTTTTTTTTTTTTAATGTAGAGACTGTGAGTAGTATTTAAATAAGAATCAGCCATCTGACCACTTAGACTGCCAAGTTAGAGACTTTTCTTCCCATTGATTTGTTTTGCTTTTAAAGTTCCTCAAGGATCCACTGTTGTTAAGTGACATCTAAACATCCTGAGTCTTCTTTAATATTAATGCAAACATTTTCCTGCATTTACTAGCTATAGCAAGATAAATCACTCCCACTCGCATTTTAATAAAATCCAAGTTAAACACCTGATAGGACTAGTTAATTTGTGTAGTGCACAGTTTGATTCAAAGCAGATGATCCCCAAACCAGACATTGACATTTATTCTATCTTTACATAAAATCCAATAGTAGACACTAAGGAACAAAGTTACCAAATAAACAGAAATGCAGCCTCATCCACAATTGAAGTGATGGGCATACATAACACACACATACTTACATACATACGCCTTAAAAATCTTAGGCTATGTTCTCACATGCCAGCCAATTTGAAAGGAGACCAGAAAGTAGTTAATTTGGGAACACACTAAATTAGTTGTCTGGAGAAGAAAAAAGAACTTATATTGGTCAACTGGATTCCACTCTTTGTTTTTAATCACAGTGAAATGAATTCAAATGTAGTTACTGAATGTTACAGGTGGAAGGATCTAGCACATCATCTAGCTTCCTATCTCTTGAATGACAAGAGAAGAAACTAAAGCCTAGGAAGGGGTTGTAAAATTTAGGGGAAAAAGAAAAGACAAATTTACAAGAGTCACAGGACATACTCACACTAAAAAATTTATCCATTGTTTATCTGTAACTCAACTTCAACTGGGAGTCCCGTATTTCATCGGGCAACCCCAGCCCAGTGATTTTTTTTCTTTCATACCTAGAAATGGCCTTAAGATCACTTATGATGGATTATTAAAATAATTAATATAAAGATAGTGCACGTGGAAAAGGTAAATGATCAGAGAACCTAAAGCAGTGCTGCCGTGGTGCAGTTGGACCTGGTGAGGGAAGAGGTCCAGCTTCCTGGCAGTGCTTCGATGCCCAAGTCAACAGATGCCAGACAACCAGGGCGTGAAATGATCTCAGCAAAACGGCTTTGCTTTATTTTTATATGGCTTGATTTATATGTTCTTTTCTAATTCTATAGGCTCCTGATCCTGGAAAACTTTGAAGATGCACTCTTAAATGTATCAGCAAATAGTCCTTACGTCCCTTACCTGGCATGTGTGAGAAATGTGACCTACAATTTGGCCAGGGGATCACCAGGTAATCCTCTTCTCCATCGTCAGAACACTGCTCATGGTTTCTAATTCTGTCCTAAAGTAGTAAGTCTTTTAAGACATCCGCTTAAAAAAAAAAAGAAACATTTTAAAAATCTTAGTTTCCATATGTATCAGTTTTAATTTGGTGATTTGATGAATGAAGGGAATATCTAATCATATTATTATACTGTTCTGTTGCTGCTGCTAGTCCCACCTGGTTGCCTGGACAAACTTTAACATATTAATATAATGGCCATACAATGGATAAAGTGATAATGGCCACCTGGACAAACTTTCCAAGCGTTCAGAGTCATTAGGGGATCACATAAACTTTCACGATAATTTCTATGCTCTTAATAATCTCAGTTGTTAAAACATAACGAAGACTGTTTATACAGAGTTCTCAAAGCAGATGTAAATGACATCAACAAATGCATTTTTGTGGCAGACTATTTTTACTTCCTATTCTCACACACCTTTTATTTCCAATTTTCTGCCTACATGAGCAACCGCAAAGATTGCATTTAATCAAATATTTTGTTTCTTTTCATAAGAAGAAATATCTATTTTCTCACACTGTCTAGGAGACACACATTCTTTTGTCCTATACCAAAATAGTTTTTTGAGGGTTAATGGCAGGCAAATAGCACAACGAATATTGAAACCTGGTCTTTGTTTACCAGGCATGAATTAATCAGGTTGGAAGGGCATATTTACATCACAGGGATGATACAACCTACTCTCCCCCAAATACTTCAACTGAATAGTATATACTAGAGTCAGAAATAAAAGCATATTCAGTTCACAAAGAGCCAAAACTGTGTAGCACCTTTGCTAGAAATATTTTTATCTCTAAGCAGAATATCTATGAATATTTTTAAAATAATGAACTCTATTGTCCCCATGGTTCAAATAAAGGTTAAACTTTTCCTTGTCTTATATTTATATTGAACTAAGCTGTTATCATAGAAAAAATTTAGTAATAAATCAGGATAGAGGTGACTTTCAAATGGGTTTCTTAAATGACCTTGCAATTCACATAAAGTAACTCTTCTCTCCTCCTTTACAGAAAATATAAGACTCCTTCAGTCCACAATAAGATTTAGAAAATCTTTTCTTCGAAATGGTTCCTATGAGGATTACTTCCCTCCAGTTCCTGAAGTCTTAAAATCAAAAGTAAGCCATGAAAGGAAAAAATAAACCTCAATGCTTCCTATAATATTTTGGCAAGATACATTTTTGGTTTAAGTTTTTTAAGTCTAATCTTTGTAACTAATGATCCTATTTTGACTTTAGATTTATAATGTTCCTACTTAGGACTCTAGAAAAAGGATGGCAAGACTTTGATGTTGTACAAGGGCATTTTGTTTTTCATCGGTGGAGATTTCTGCATGAAATGACCCATAAGAGCCTGATTGCAGTATGTGCATATATAAAGAATGGCTAACAATATAGCTACTTTATCAAGCTTCACAGTTTAAGAAAGGATTCATAATATGATTTCTAATTTGAGATGTCCTAAGTTTTAAAACCTATCAAAGTAGATTTTAAAAGATGCTGTTTTAGATTTCACAGCATACAAAAATCTCAAACATTGACTCACCCTATTTTTATTATTGTCATCAGAAATAGAAACTAATAAGTCATATTCAAATGTATGCTATTGAGGAAAGGGGGAAGAAAGCAAGCCCAAAACTTAAAATCTGAAGTTTGAATGTGTTCATGCTTATTTCTTATTATTCTTTGTTTAGCTCATGCATATAGTATACAGGTTATCATGAAAATCACTTCATTTCTTAAATAACCTTATTACATTTTGAAAGCAGCTTTCCCAGTAAGAACAGCAGCTTAATTGGATTTATGTAGCCAGGAATAAAGTAAAATTAAAACTGGTTTATTCAGGGCAAGCAAGATGACTCGCTGTATAGTCAACATGGTATAATTAAGCAGGCATGCAAAACATTATGTCCGTGTATATTACAAATAAATGTGCTAGTTAGATTACCCAGATTTTAGCCCTAGCCTTCTACATGCATCGAAAATTCTAATATACTTAATTTAGTATTATCTTAATTTGTTTGTGCAAATGAGAAGGAAGTTATGCATTCATCTGGAAAATTCCTACTCATCCTTCACGGACAAGTTTATTTATTTATTTACTTCTTATTTCAAAATATTAAGGGGCTACCAATGTTTTCATTACATGGATACCTCGTATAATACTTAAGTTGGGACTTCTATTATGCCCAGTCACCATAATAGCGTTCATTGTACCCAATAGTTTTTATTCCTCATCCCTCTTCCAGCCTCCCCCCTTCTTGGTTTCCATTGTCCTTTACATCTCTTTGTGCCTGTATGTGCCCACTGTTTACTCAAGGACAAGTTTAAATGTCACTTCTGTAATATTAGAAAGTATCACCTTTCTCTCTCTTTCTCAGCCAGGGTAATGACTATTTTCTGTGCTCCTATAATATTTATTCATTCATTCTTTTCATTCATTACCTGTGCTCCCATAATATTTATAGGACATACTCTTTAACCCCAAAATGCTTATAATTGAGCCAGGGGAGGGATGGAAAAGCAGAGCGACAATTATAATACACTGAGCTAAGAGCTGTGGTATGTGGATGGACAGGATTCTGTGCACAGAGGTGGGATATCTAATGTGGATTGCAGGGAACGGAGGTGGAGAGAAGAAATTTTATAGAGGAGAGAATGCTTATTCTGAGTCTTGAGGACTGTATAGAATTAGGTTAGAGTCCTGCATTCTAGATATAGAGACTTGAGTTTGTAAGAAGACAGAGGCACGAATCTGTAAGAAGGTGTAAGTTACCTGGGTTCATATGTATCCAGCTAAACAGAAGGTGCCTATGGGACAGGCAAGAAAGGGGGCTGCAGAGGGAGACTGAGCCCAAGTCCTGAAGGCTTCCTAATGCTTAGCCAAAACATTTGAATTTGATCCTGAGAGTTGTGAATTTGAAGAAGGTGAAATTTGCATTTTAGAAAGAGATCTCTCTGGGAGAATTATAGACAAGAGATTGGAGGGAAGCCAAGTAGACTATTTCTGCAGGAATCTAAGCGAAAAAAGGGGGCCTGCACTGTGCCATTGGCAGAAGATAGAAGAAGGAGACAGTTCCAAGACTGGTAACAGTGATTTAGGAGATCAAATTGGAACAATGTGGCAGCCAGTGAGTGAGACGTGAGGCATAAGGAAGAGGAGTCTTTAATGACTGAGATTTCTAGCCTGTATGACTCATTCCTTGGCATTATAGTTTATGTATGTGTAGGTTCTCTGTCCCTCTCTGGAGTGTAAACTCTGAGGAAATTATGCCTTCTTCATCTCTAAAGCCTCACATGGTAGGAGCTTAAGGCTTGGTCCATGAAGGCATGAAAAAATAAAGGTGTTAAAGTAGAGCACTGGCATTGTAATCACACTCCCTGGCAAGTATTCATGGTAGTGCTCGACTTAGGAAATAGCTGGGGAGCACACAGTATGCACTAAAGAAATGGAAACAACACAGTCTCAACCATTTATACAAATGGGATGGGATTAGGGTTAAGAATAGTTTAAAACATCACCCATAATTTGAATGTAATGCTCCCTTTGAGGGTCACATTATGAAAAAAAGTCCTAGAAGCCACAGAAATGGACATAAACCATAATCTTTGTCCCTTGGGTAGAAAACCTATTGTCATTTATATAATAATAAGCATGGCTGCTATTTGAAATTCACAGAAGCCATTCAGTCCTAGACCACAAGCTCCATGTGGAATATTGCCAGGTCCGTCCCTTTGCCATGGTGTCCCAGCACCTGGCACGGAGTCCCACACATGAGGAACACTGAGGACACATCACTGGAAGAATGAAGACAAATTCCTAGAGTTTTACAACTGGAGAGGCTCTTATTTTCCTGCGTTGCCCACCCTGATAGTTGGTATCATGATTGTGACAGTCAGTTAGGGCCCACTCATTCCAGTTTTCTTCATGGTATTCCCAAGGTGGCAGGGAATCCTGTTATTCATTGGCAACTCTTCTCTGTTTCCCAGCTTTCTGGCCCAGCCTGAACATTTTATTCTTGTTGAACTTGTGTTTTGTCTCCTCCCTTCATTGTCTGCTGTATCTTTGTCTTTCCAGTCCCTTTTGTGGGAAGGGTAACTTCCTGATTGGGGGGCTACACCTAAAATGGGTGTTCCCCTTATTGAACAGAAATACAGATAACATGATATTTTTATTGAGACACTCCCCTCCATGTATCCACCACAAGCCCAGAAGTATTGCTGTTTTATCATTTTATGCCCCTGAGATTATGAGGTCTATACAATCGTGTCCCTTACAATTCTGACTCAGATGCATTTGGGAGCCAATTATTTGATTTCCATTTCCTCTTTTTCACCTGGATATGGAATTTTAAGCACTTCCATAGGACAAAGGCACCTAGTGCCCTGCAGTACAGAATAGGGCAGAGGACAACATCAATAACAACACGGACACTTCTGAAAACCCACATGTGTTCTCATCCAGAGTTTAAACACAGTCTTATTAGAATGCATGTGATTCTCATGCTGCAGTTTAAGAAAGCCTGTTTTATTTTTTGTTAATTTTTAAAAATCGTGGTAAAATAAACACACCATAATATTTACCATTTTTACTGTACAGTTCAGTGAGTACATTCACATTGTTGTTCAACTAATCTCCAGGACTGTTTTCATCTTGTAAAACTGAAACTCTATACCCATTAAACAACTCCTCATTTCCCCTTCCCCTAGCCACTGGCAACCATGATTTTACTTTCTGTCTCTGTGAATTTGAGTTCTCTAGGTACCTTGTATAAGTGGAATCATATGATATCTGTCTTTGTGGGACTGGCTTATCTCACTTAGCACGGTATTCTCAAGGTTCATCCATGTTGTGGTATGTGTCAGAATTTCTTTTCCTTTTTTAGGCTTAATAATATCTCATTGTGCCTGTATATGTATATTTATACACATCACATTTTGCTTACCTATTTACCTATTGTTGAACACTTGCATTGCTTCTACCTCTTGGCTGTTGTAAATAATGCTACTATAAGCATGGCTGTACGAATATCTCTTCAAGATCCTGCTTCTGATTCTCGGTAGTTTATACCCAGAAGTGGAATTGCTAGATCGTATGGTAATTCTATTTTTAATTTTGTGAGGAACTGCCATACTGTTTTTCATGCCATTTTACATTCTCACCAACATGGTTAATATTTCTCCACATCCTCACCAACACTTGTTATTTTCTGTTTTATCAATCATAGCCATCCTAATGGGTATGAGGAAGAAAGGCTTCTTTAAAGTTCCAAACCAAATCTGCTTTCTATCTGCCCTATACATGATTTAAAATATAAAATTAGGACTGGTTGCGGTGGCTCATGCCGGTAATCCTAGCACTTTGGGAGGCAGAGGCGGGAGGATCCCTTGAGGCCAGGAGTTCCGAGACCAGCCTTAGCAAGAGCGAGACCCTCTCTCTATAAAAAGTAGAAAAACTAGCCAGGCATGATGGTGCGTGCCTATAGTCCCAGCTCCTGCCTTCTTGGTGAGGCAGGAGAATTGCTTGAGCCCAGGAGCTCGAGGTTTCAGTGAGCTATGATGATACGACTGCACTCTAGCACAGGTGACAGAGTAGAGATCCTGTCTATAAATAAATAAATAAAATTAGTTACAGTATTTATAATTTAAACTGGATAAAACTAAACTACATTTTTTTAAAACCCGTGAATCTATAAAGGAAGACAGGTCTAATTATATCCAAATTTTTATAAAATTCTTAAGAGAACAATAAACTCAAATGACAGAAAATATTGCTTTGTAATAAAATTAATGCCAAATGCCAGCTAACCAAACACATATGCAGAATGTTTTCAAAAGGCGAATCAATTCTGGTTGCTTATCATGAATGACTAAATATGCAGAATGATGTACCTAATCTATTTCCCACTCTTTCCCCTTTTTGGAAAGCTGTCTCAACTTCGAAACTTGACCGAACTTCTCTGTGAATCTGAAACTTTCAATTTGATAGAGAAATCATGCCATCTTTCTACTATGAGCTTCGGGAGCCTGTGTGAAGACAGTGCATTTGATCTGCAGCTCCTTGAAGCAGCAGAGCTGGGCGCAGGAATAGCAACCAGCTTACTATACCATGACAATGTCATATCTGAAAAACTGAGAGATTTACTGACTGGGGATCCAAGCAAAATTAATTTAAATATGGATCAGTAAGTTTTTCCATTGTCTTCTTCCTTCGTGACATCCCTCTCAAAATATTGATATGCATAGTTGAATTTCCTCTCTTCTGTTTCATTCCAGGTTTCTCGAACAGACACTGCAAATGAATTACTTGGAAAATATCACACAGTTAATACCGACCATAGAAGCCATGCTGCATGTTAATAACAGTGCAGATGCCTCCGAAAAACCAGGTGTTTCTCCATGCACATTTTAAGTCCTGCCTTATTAGAATGCATGTGATTCTCATGCTGCAGTTTACGAAAGGCTTTTCTGAGGTTCCCATCCAAACCTGCTTTGTTATTTGCCCTTACACGTGAGAAACCTGAAGCTTTCAAATGTGGTTATATGTCTAAAGTAAACACATAGAAAGGTAGCAGAGAATGAAACAGGGAAATTTGATTTCATAGCAGAAACATCTTCAAAAATTTAACTAGTTAGACCATTCACCTTTTGTTTCTCTGATATATTACAATGCATTAGATAGTTGGCTGCAAGAGCAAGAATGAAATTTATTTGCTTCTGTGAAAATAATCTGATTGAAAAAACACAAAGGATGCATTGCTGTCTACAGAAATCTCAATTCGGAACTTTCTATTAGTATTCTGAGCATGATGTATCATGCAATATGTTTCTCCTTTGCATAATGCCTCAATACTGAAAGGACAGGCATTCAGAATTTTGGACAACAGGCAGCCACAAAATTGAAAGGGCACTAAGTCCAAAAATAAAGAAGGTATATTTGCATGAGGGACACTTAATAAAAGAAATCAAAAGGCATTTGCAGAATGGAGATTACAATCTGCTGAAATAAAATCAAAATGTTGTTTATTGTGCCTTCAATGACCCAGATATGAAATAATTATAATCATTGTCCTAAAAGAGTTTGAAGTTAAACACATTCTGTATAAATGTGAGATAATGATTCTAAGAACCCTTTATAAACTGTAGTGTACTAGGCAAAGTTAAGAAAAAATTCCCTATGATGTTGTGTTGTGAATTTATCAAACCTTGTCCTAAGTTGACAATATTAATATGATCCCCGGTTTAAAAGCACTTTAAATTTGCGTGATGTTTTAAATCATATGGAAAGATATTTGTTTAGTGCATTATGTGATCAAAGTATGTGAGGAAACCATGTTTTCTTTGAATCACCTTTGTATTATAGATACCTAAGGGAAATTTATAACTCAGAGCAATCTGTTACCTTGGGTTAATGATATCATAATAAGAACAAATCTAACTCAGATAAAAATAGATCCTAAAGATGCAAAAAGTTTGCCCGAACTGGGGGAAATCTGTTCCTGACAGGCATGCATGTTGAATATACGTTTTAGTCTAGAAGGTTTCTGTACGTGAGGGTGACTAAATAGAATGACATTACAGCCAGCATGTTAAGTTTTTTTTGTTTTTTTCTTGCAGGTCAGTTAATAGAAATGTTTAAAAATGTTGAAGAACTGAAAGAAGAACTGAGGAGAACGACAGGAATGTCCAACAGGAGTATTGATAAGTTGCTGGCCGTTCCTATCCCCGATAACAGGGCTGAGGTAGAGTGTCATGTGTTTGTACTTACATGCAGTTTTTAGAAGTTCAAGTAGCATTTAGCATCTGTTGAGAACACTAGCAAGTTGTGTGTAAATCTGGAGAATTTTCCATACAAATGATAAAATTGGAGGCCTAATTTTACGTGAAGACAGAAGAAAATTCGGAAGCAAGAATATCATCACTGTGTGATCCTTTCCCTTCATTTTTCCTTCTCTGTCCATCCCCTTGTCTCCTGTATTCTCTCCGTTTCTTCACCCCCAGATGGCTTCCTTAAACAACTGGTGCCATCAGTAAAGAATTATATTCATTATCACAATCACATTGTCTGAGCTGAATTTGCACCTACTATAAGGATATCAATGTCAAATTTCTGTAACCTAATTGGGGAAAGAAGTATGGAGATTATTTCCTGTTTGTTGCAACTCAAATAAAAGTGGATACTCATTTTTAGTTTTTAAGTCCCAAGATAAGACAGGGCATATACAATAGATGTGTTCAAGGGAGATATGGGTAAGTTTGTGGTTGTAGCAAACATTTTTTGGTGTGAAAATGAATCATGTCATTTCCTCATAGGCTGATAATAAGGTTTTCCACTCAAAATGTCTTATCTTTTATTCCTTTTCCAAGTCCATTGTCTGGGAGTGTCATAGAAATTTTCCAAAAGAGCCGCAGAGCTTAAGGTCTCATCCATTCAAAACTTATGTGTGACAGACTGTGTCATTTTTAAGCACAGCCCAGTTATTTTCCAATATTGGATAAAGTTTTTTAAAAGGCTTTAAGGCTCCCTTTGGAATATATTGAATTTACCTCGTGTCATTTTAATTGGTTCCCCACACAAGAATTAAAACAGCTTTGCCTTCACTTTTCTTCCTCTTGTATTAGCAAATAATATTCATTTACCTTTTCCCTTTGATCTCACCTTTTGCTCCTCTGATCCTAAGATCTACTCTCAGCAATCATGTTTCTGGCTTCTGAAGAACAGGTTCATTTTAGTAAATAAAAATATGTAAGTGGAGAGCTTACATTCCTATTACTTTCAAGAGAAAGAGTGAAAAGTTTCTGCAATCTTGAATTTCATAAGCTTTTCTCTTTATTTTAACTTGGGGGCAACAGAGATGGCATCTTATTCCTCACAGTCATTCCTCACTTTCTATAGAAGCTTTACTGTCCAGAGTGGGTGATTCACGTTATTGTATGATCTTGGGCTTTTTGTTTTGTTTTGTTTGTTTTATGTCTCTGGACCCACAGAGTATATTGTATAAGATTATAACTTTGAATGATTATAAAAACTAAATGCCATCTGAATTAACTAAGAGCAAAATTTTAAAGGCAGCAGAGTCTTAATCGAATATTTTCCCCAAACTTATTCCAAATTAATTATCTTTCTTGGTACCATCATTTGCCAGCTGTACAGACAAGAAATCCGGGAGTCATCCTGCTTGTCTCTGCCTCTCTTTTCCCACCTTATTTCCTAACTTTTCCAGTGAACTAAGGGTTCTCTATCATAGTAATTAGTGCTTTAAATAAGCACTAGTTTGATTTTTGAGGACAATTTGTCATATTTTAAAACTTAGAGTGTATTAAAAAAAAACCCAAAATGGACAGATGACTCTCAAGTGATTCACAGCTAAAATATTTTTCTTTTTCCGATTTGTAGATTATTTCTCGGGTGTTCTGGTTGCATTCTTGTGATGCTAATGTTACCAATCCCAAACTGGAGGATGCAATGAAGGAATTCTGCAGCCTGCCTCTTCCAGAGAGATCGCATCAGTCTTACCTCATTGGACTCACTTTTCTGCACTACTTAGACATTTATAACTTCACATACAAGGCAAGTTGCTGTTGGTGAAATATATTGATATTGATGATTTAGTATAAAAATATTTAATTATACATGTATGCTGTCTGATATTATCAGGGATAAGAGCCATTTTATCCAGCTTTTGGAATTAGAACATTATTTTAAAGCTCAATGAAACCTTTGAGATCATACACTGCCATATTGCACATTTTATAGGTGAGGAAACTAATATTGCCTTATTAACTCTCAGTTTGTGTATCCGAAACCAATAATTAAATTTAATACATACTGTTACTATAAAATACAAATGTATTTTAAAAGTGTAAAATGCAAATGTTATAATGTTTTTACAACGAACAGGCATTAATTTGGTAGGATAAAAGTAAAGATTAGAACAAAGTGTTTTTTTAATGAAAAAATAGATTTCTTTTGGTGTTCTCAAAAAACATTTTGTGTTTCCTTCATCAATTTAGGTAGAAGCTACTGTTACTTATCCAGTAGAACAAAACAAATGGTCATTATTAGGGTTTGGTAAAGTCAGCAATGATTTCATCTTGCAATAAGCAGGTGTTCTATAAGTACTTATTTAATGAATAACTGAAAGAAAACTATAAACATAGAAAAATGAAATACCTATGTTCACCCAGATCTCTACGTGGGTCAAAAATATGTACATACTATTAAAAACACTGAAAAATTGTTTTTCTCTTTAAGAAAAACCAGAAGCAAATGGCTGACTTATGTTGTTGAGACACGTTAGCCAAAGAGAGAAAAATGGTTCAGAACTAGTCATAAGTAATCCCGTTCCAAGTTATCACCACCAGCCCAAACCTGCCTTTCTGCAATGGCCTTCTAATCGGTCTCCCTGCTGTCGTACTTGCCCCCTTTCCCTGTCCCCCACACCTCCAAAGCATCGGAGTGATCTTCTAAAAACTTAAGTCTCATTATGTTACTCTTCTGCTCAAAACCTTCCAGCAGCTCTCCATTTTATTCCAGGAAACCTTCCAATCTGCTTCATGACCTGCAGATCAACTACTCTTCATCTCTAAGACCTCATTTCCTCCTTGGCTACTCTCCGTACCTGTGGCTACTGCATGGCAATACTCTGGAGACACCCTTCACATGGTTTGCAGGGCTCTTTTTTTGCTTAACATTGACCTTCTCAATAAGTCCTACCCTGACCACCCTATTTAAAATGCAACCAGTGCTACATATAGCACTCTCAACCCCCATTTTCCTGTTCTATTTGTTTTCTATTGCACTTCCATCAAACTCTATATTTTATTCAGTTTTCATTTCTCTGATTTATTTTCTGTCTATTCCCACTAGTATGTAAGCTCCACAAGGCCCTCTTTGTTCACTGAAATATTTCAAATGCCAAAAACAGCACCTGGCTCATAGGGAAACTCAGAAAATGCCCATTAACTAAACTAATGGTTCTTTTGCATAAACTATAACCTTAAATACATACGATATGAAATTATAAATTTTGTTCACTTAAAATTTTAATACTTATTTTATAATATCTCTACAGAGCAGAAAACAGACTAAATATTTCTTGGTGAGTCTATTAATTAAACATGTGTATTTGACAAGCAGACTATTTCCAATTATTCTTAGTATTGCAAACAAAAATAATAAAAATTTCCCATCATTAGTCAATTTATGTCACATCAATATAGGAATGCCTAGAATTTCAGAACTAGAATAGAAAATAAATAGAAATGTTGGTTCTAATTTAGAAAAATCTGATTGCAATTAGAAGCTGTGTCACTGAAGCAGCTATATCTTCATGAATGAGAGCTAAACAGTGTGGCAGATGTGAATATAAGGCTGTTTTTCTGACTGAATCTTGTGCTCTTTATCATGGTTTTTTACTTCCTTGGCTAGGCCAAGAGCTTTCTCTCTTTAGGGACCTCACACATCTTCCCCCCTCTGCCTATACCCTTTCTCTTCTTATTCTTCCTATGATATATTCTTTCTTATCATTTAGGATTCCAACTTGGAAAGAGACCTACTCTGATTTCTTAGCTAAATACTCCCTACCTTCTCATATTCCCCAGCCTTTGTTCATTGCCTTGTTTGATATCTGGTCCTCCTAATAGACCAAAGTTCTCTGAGTGCAAGGAATGATCCCACCTTGTGCACCACTATATACCCGTTACCTTGTGCAGTGCTGGCAATGTACCAGGCACTCAATATTTGCTGAATAAATGAATAAGAGAATGAAATTATTTTAAGATTTAAAAAATATTTTCAATGTTTCTTCCTGTAGCAAATAAGCATTATGGAATTAAGTAGCCTGATAAATCAGATAGCTTTTTGACAGAGTTTTCCTGATTTTTAGGATCGCATTATATGATTTTTGAGCAATGGTATGCATGAAGAGTTATGTAATTGACATTTGCCTTGATGACCTCTAAAATAATTTGTTTTGCAACTTTATTGAGGTATAATTTATGTACCATAAAATTGACTCATTTTAGGTATACAGTTCAACAATTTTTTAGTAAATGTAATGAATTGTGTAATTATTACCACAACGTCATTTTAGGACATTTCAAGCACCCCAAAAAGAAACCTCATATCCATTTGCAGTTACTTCTCATTTTGACATCTCACTGAGGCAACCTATAATCTATTTTCTGTCTCTATAGATTTGTCTTTTTTAGATATTACATATGAATTGAATCATATAATATGTGGCTTTTTGGTCTGGCTTCTTTTGCTTAATATAATGGTTTTGAGTTTCTTATATGTTGTAACACATTTCAGTATTTCATTTCCTTTTATTGCCAAATAGTGTTCCTTTTTAGGGATATACATTTTGTTTTATCCATTTACCTGGATTGTTTCCACCGTTTGGCTATTGTGAATAACGCTGCTATGAACATTTGCATACAAATCTGTGTGTGGACATATGTTTTCAATAATCTTGGATAAATACCCAGGAAGGGAATTGCTGGGTTGTATGGTACATTTACATTTAGCTATTTTACAACTTTCGAAATGTTTTCCAAAGTGGCTGTACCTTTTTACATTCTTACCAACAGTGCATGAGGGTTCCAGTTTCTCCACATAAATGATTTATTTTTATTCTGTTTCTGTTAGGTGTTTTTCCCTAGGAAAGATCAAAAGCCAGTAGAAAAGATGATAGAACTCTTCATGAGACTAAAGGAGATTCTCAATCAGATGGCTTCCGGCACACATCCGCTGCTAGACAAAATGAGATCCCTGAAACAAATGCATCTGCCCAGAAATGTTCCATTAACACAGGTAGAAAAGTTACCCAGGAATGTTCTTGTTGAAAAATTCCTTCTGTCATATTAACTTGTTTTTAAGATTAGTTATAACATGGCTTTAAATTTAGTACATTGAAAAAAAAAATCACCTAAAAGAAAACTCCTCTACTCTGGCTACATGTTTTGCCACTTAAATTGGTGAAGATTATCATTCTGCATTTGCATTTGGGATAGGCATTTTAAAGGAATTATAGAAACTGCAAGGATCCTCTAAGCATCATCAGGTGTTCTTTCTATATTGTTTTCAGTAGCATCTTTAGCTCCTATAACGTTAATAAATCGTGGGGTTTTTTTGTTTCACAGGCAATGTACAGAAGCAACCGAATGAACACACCCCAAGGATCATTCAGGACCATTTCCCAAGCATTGTGTTCCCAAGGAATTACCACTGAATACTTAATTGCCATGCTGCCCTCTTCCCAGAGGCCAAAAGGAAACCACACCAAGGATTTTTTGACGTATAACTTAAGTAAAAAGCAAATTGCTGCAAAATATGGAATCCCCCTACATACCAGTGAGCATACTTTAATGATGATTGTTCTAAATGACAATTTAAAAACATTGTCTATTCTGTCTTAGCTTTTCATGATAATGAAGTATTAATTTTTACCCAAGACTAAAAATAGAAAACACTTTTACAGCACTTACTGTATGTTAAGCATGTTGTGCATATAAGGGAAGATGAGGCACAAAGAGCATAGGTAAACTGGCCAAGGTCACTCAACTTGGAAGTATCCAAGCTGTTATTTGAACCCAAGTAGTCTTCTGGAAGACTTATCTTCTTAGAATTTGTCAGTCATGAGTACATCTTCCTGGCCTGTAGACAATAAAAAAACTTGCCTTAGGTCTGTTTGAGTTGATATTTTTTTGTAACTTTCTAGAATTAGAAATTTATATCCTATGTGGTAGAGCTGCAGAAATGCGGCAGAAGCATAAATGTTTAGTGCCATATCAAAGTCGTTTACTTGATCTATAAACTTGGAGATGCAAAATGTGATCAGTGAGCTCTGTCAAATAATATATGGGTGTTTAGTGTAGCAATTGGATTGACTCATTTATTCATCCTTTTATTCATTCACCAAACATTTATTAAACGGCTCTTATGTATCTGGTACTATCCTAGTAGTAAGTTTTTGTGTATTTTTAGGAAATTAAATGCTGGTGAAATGGATCTGTTGGCAATTCTGAAATGTGGTTTTCAATCTTTCTATCTCCTCTTGGCAAAATGCCATCACTTACTCTAGGCTTGTTTATTGAGTTAAACTTTCTCACCTAAAAAAGATTTGTCACTGTGCTTTCCTACTTTGCTACCAGATGCCTCACATCTGTTAATAATATAAGAAGTGCTAAGGCATGTATTTTTGGGTGTGATAAGAATAATCTGTGTCAATTTACCATGAGGAAATAGATTTGAAATTCATCTATTAAGAGGTTTTATTTCACTTTTTCCTTCCAGCACCATTTTGCTTCTCCCTTTATAAAGACATCATTAACATGCCTGCTGGACCTGTGATTTGGGCTTTCTTGAAACCTATGTTGTTGGGAAGAATTTTGTATGCACCATATAACCCGGTTACAAAGGCAATAATGGAAAAGGTTTGACTATTATAACTCAAAGTTTCTATTTTGAGTATTAAGATGATTTTTACAGTAGTCAATTTCCAAATTCACTTTAGCTGACTCTGGTTTCTTTGTATTTTACTATTCTTACCCTTGGCTTTCTGAAGCTCTTAATAATTCTCTACTTCTGCCTGGGATATGTGCAAGCAATATAGATTGGGTGGTAGCCCTTTGAAGCGAAATGAACCATGTTGACATTTGAGAATGAGGTTAGTTGAAGCAGGACCTCAGATTTTTTCAATTTATCTCAAAAAGCAGAAAAGTTTTCTACAACTGGTGCCTAACTTTCAAAGTATGTAAAAATCATGCTAGAAAAAATAATATTGGGCATTATATACCTAGTTTGAACAAAATCCCTAACATATAGATTCTGGGCTTTGTATTTACTTGTACAATTTAAAATCTCATGTTTATATAGAAGATAGATACTGAGGAAGACAACATTATTAATAATAACTGTTCTTATTAACTGCCTCATTTAGCCATAATAGTTTTTCCCTCTCACTTTTAAAGTTGACTTTAGTGATTTGAATTATAAACTTAATACTTTTAAAATGAAAAAGCAAAAGTGAAAAAATATACTCTGCTTCACCATTACTTGGTCATTAAACTATAGTTTATACGAATATAACATTATTTTTACTTCTATATATAAATGGATAGATCAACACTGAATGTTCTTTGCTTGTATTGTTTGTGATTTAATACCCTATTTGCTTCATGACTATATACCTCTACATAATTTTGCATAAATGAAGTTATATGTATGCTTATTTTCTAAGTGCAGTCTTTTTTTCTTTTCCTTTTGTACTTGGCTCTCACCTGCCCTTTTTCTTCTCTCTTGATCCTACTCTTCCCTGAACATAAACTAATATATGTTAACATTCCAGTATGTGTCTTTCTATAACTTATTCACGTGCCTCTAATCCTCTATTGATTATTTTACCACATATACATTCATACGCAGAATTCTTTGGTCATTGTTTGCATGATTAAAATAAGATAGCATTATAATACTTTTCTACATGTTGCTTTTCTCCCATAAGAATACATTGTAGAAATTCTTCTCACTCAATAGGTATCATTTACTTTATCCTTTTTAAAGATTGCAAATTTTTTCATAACATGAAATTTAGTCATCTAATCCTCAGTTGTTGGACATTTATTTTTGTTTTCAGTGTTTGTTTTTGTTTTTTGGCTACTGTAAACAATGTGACAATGAACACTCCTGTGTGTATGGTTTTACATAGTGGTATTTTTATGTCAGTTTGATGAATGTTCAAGATTGAGGGATTGAAAGATATTGTATTTTATTTTAATAGCCATTGTCAGATTGTTTCCCAAAAAAGGCTACAACATAATTTATTCCCACCAGAAATATATGAGAATATCCCCCTTATATCCTTGAACTAGGATGTTTCTTTAATAGAAAAGTTAAGTGTATCATTGGTAAAAATGAAAAACTTGTGGGATCTCTAGAAGTCATACTTATATTTTGGCTGTAAATTCACTTGTGGATATGAAACAAACTCCCAATTTTCCAGAATTTTTAAAAATGGTCTTGACCCTATACAAGCTATCATTTAAAACTTTTAATCATGTGGGAAATTTCTGCCAAAAATTTTTTAACTAGCTCCACCTTTGGAACTATTTTTTGAAGTTATGTAACAAAACAATCTTAAGATACCTTTTTGGAATATAGGCAAAATACTAATGAACCAGATCTCTTTTGTTTCTTTGTCTTTAAGTCTAACGTAACTCTGAGGCAGCTGGCGGAATTAAGAGAAAGATCTCAAGAGTGGATGGATAAATCGCCACTTTTCATGAATTCCTTCCACCTGTTAAACCAGGCGATTCCAATGCTCCAGGTAGGAGATGGTACTGTCACTCACCTTAGTAAGAATTATAATTCTTTAAGACTTTAAATGCCTTCATTGTTTGAATGGGAAGATAGTAACTTAGAATGTACATTCAACAGATTTAAATTGCCTCTCTTTCAGAGAGTGGGTCTAAGACAAGATAATAGATGTGTCACTCACATTCATAATCATCCTCACCTTTTGTACTGCAACTTCTCTGTCTGTAATTCAAAGATAAGACATCTTACAAGTTGATCTAGAGACCTAACTAGTGGTATAAATCAGTTTTCCAAAAGTATTGATAAAATGCTATAAAATATGCTTATGTTATTTATTTCTGTCCTTTAAATTACTCTCCTTAGCTATCTTAACTAAACCAAAATTCCTAAAATACTAACATTATGGAGAATGTCAAATTTGGGGAGTTTTGTGGTGGAAATATATGACATATGTGTTTTAAAAAATCCAAATTTATTTGAACATATTGTACACAAGGTGTTCTCATTAGTTATCTAAGTGTCTTTAGTTCAAAGCCACCTAAGGAAGCAAATGTTACCATAAGTAAAAAAAAGTGCTCTAATAAATTGGCCTCTTCAAAAGTTTGTCTCCACTCAATCCTTCATGCTCACTCGAGATTAAAGATTTGACAACACAACTCAAATCCAATACACATTAGTTGAAAAGTGAAATTTGCAATTCTTGTAAAAGATGCAGGATTTTCTGAAGACAATGCAAATACTTTGGGGAAATGTTCCAATCACAAACAGAGCTATTGACAAGTGAAGATTGAGCAGCAGAGTTAGCCCAGTCATCAGCTGAGGAAAGGAAAATTGGCAGGAATGATGACAACCTAGGAGCTTCAAGAGAGACTGGCTTGCATATCACAGAGAGACCTTTGAAAATTGATGGAGCCCTAGAATATTTTTGCAAAAAAAAAAAAAAAAAAAAAGAAAAGAAAAGGAAAAAGAAAAAAGCTCTTTTTTATGATCAAACTCAGGAAGTTAAATATAGAATGAAGCATATTGTATGACACAACTTGGTCAAAAAATTTATACTCCAAAGGTACTTTACTCAGTTTATCTTGACTAGCAATTAGTGCATAGTTACAATAACAACCTGAATTTCATTACAAATGATAAAACAAACTTCTAAAATAGATATTTAAGACATTTCATAAATATAAAATAAAGTAAATTTTTCATCAAACATCTAACACACAATTTAATTTTGGGTCTAATTTTAAGCATGCTCATTTTAAATGGCCTTTTCTAGTGAGTCTCACTCAAATAACAAAGGCTACTTAGACAGTACTTTATTGACAAATGTATTTTCCTAAGTGGTAGATTGATCTTTTCTCTTAAAACCTCTTTTTCTGTGAAGAGAAAAAAAAATCCCCATATTGTTTTATTAAGAAAAGTTTCGTTAGTGAAAGTGGTGAATTAACCGGACCTGCTCTATGCATAATTGTTCCATCAGTGTACATGCTACCAACTGCTCTTAGAAGCCACAGAAGCTATGGATTTAGCACATTAATTCTATTATGTGTGTGCTCTAATGATACATGCTATTCTTAACCATTCATCTCCATAATAACAAAAGATACTGGTAAGAAAGAAAGAAAAAGTGGTACCAAACTTTGCTCTAAAAGGACAATCAACTTAAGCCTAGCTTACATAATATCTAGGCCATGAATGTACACATGAGATGAATAAACATTTCTTAATTGAGTTGAATTCTCTCCCTTCAACTTTTTCCTTGTCCCTCATTAATTGTGTGTCCTTTGGAGAATTGACATAGCTTCTTTAGCCTTAGATTTGTCATCTATTAACTGTAGATTATAGTAGCACTGACCTCAAGGTGTTGTTGAAAACTAAGTGAAAATGTTAAGTTAAACTCTGTAAGCCAGTGCCCAGCACACAGCAAAAGCTCAGTAAGTATTAGGTAACAGTACTCCTGCAGTGGTAGCAGTTATGTCTTCTAATTTGGAAGATAGCTATAAAAGCCTTTATAAAGGCTTTTAAAGCAAGTATTTTTTTTAATTTTTCAATCTTTACATAGATATAGATTAATTTAAAGTTTTATTACCAACTTATTCTTTCATATTCACAGAGTTGCCCTTATTACAGTACAAAACAATATTATAATAAGTTATATTGACTATTCTGATGAGATGAGTCGTTTATCCCTACATTACAGAAAGGTAACCTAAAGCTGGTAGAGGCTCAGTGCATGCTAAAAACCTCACAGCTGGGAAGTATTAGAGCTGGAATACAAATCAGTTGACATGTAATATCTGCATGTCAAATTTCATGTAGATATTACAATTTTAAAAAGTTGTCTTTGTTTCAGTTGAACAAAATTCAACCATGAACCATAACATATATATGTGTATAGCCTATATTAAAAAGAAATAATATAATAGCTATGTAAAAAATGTCTGTTAAAGTGAATATATTTTCCTAATGTTGATAATTATTGCCATATCTGACCACTTTAGCATGCTGATCAATTTGTGTCTATAGACAAACAAAAGCCCAGCCTTTCAACTCATTCCCAGTCACCAGCCTTCTATTTTTTTCTCAAGAATTTGTATCTGAGTCTTTGCAAGAAGGTGCATGGATAATGCCCATTGCTGGTTACTTCATTTCACTGTCATTGTTTTTAAGAGGCAATGTTAAACTTATTTTCTTTTTGCACTGAAACTGATTCCCTATTATTATTTGTTAGAATACCCTAAGGAACCCCTTTGTGCAAGTTTTTATAAAATTCTCCGTGGGACTGGATGCTGTTGAACTATTGAAACAGATAGATGAACTCGGTGAGTCCAGATTCACAAAACTTTTACTTACTAGTCATGTCAGAAAACCATTGTTCCACATGATAACATATTTTCCTTTCCTTCTGTATTGAGTTTATAGCTGGTTTTTCAAAGAAAAGTGAGACCCCGCACATATCCATCCATCTTCTTTTCAGATAGTTGTACAATTATAAGTAGAAATGATTGTTTGGATGCTCAGTGTCTGCAGTTAGTTTTGATAATTATAATGCAATACACTCCACGTAAATGCAGTTTTTTTCTTCAATCTTAGGTAGGTTGTTGAAAGTACGGGAGTGCTTTTTTCGGAAAGTTGATGAAAATCAAATCCTGAAGGACAAAGGAAAATAAAATGATTTATTTCTGGCTACATTTAATATCTTTATCTTCACTGGCCTCAGTATCACTTGACTAACCCAGAATGCAATTGGAAGAGGTTATAGAGTTAGCAAAAGCAAGACAAAGGCAATGGGGAGACTCAAAAGAAAATAAAATCAGTATTCAAGGTTGGGTCTTCCTCACATGGTCATTTAAAAGGAACAGGCTGCAGAGGATCAAAGGAAGCTGCCTGAACTTATGCATTCCCTCTGCCACTTCCACACCTTCAACCTAATGGATGCAAGGCATCTAATTCAGGCTGCGTCTGATTCACTGTTGCTATGCAACCACGGGTATGAGAAATGGATTGAGAGCATCAGAATTTGGCAGTAGCGAAGTAAATGCCCCTCCTCCTCCCGGGCACTGCTGGGACATAAATGATTAAAGCTATAAACCAGTAGGGAGGAATTATGCCTACAATTGTACATATATTATGATAGTCAACCCAGTTTGATTAAAGAAAGGTATTAGTGGGTTTATTCTCTAAAAGAATCACTTGGGTGAAGAACTATTGATCAAAATATCAGGGATAAACTACAAAGTTCTTATATAAATTTTGTCATTCCTAACTTTCGAAATAGAAGGTGAGGCTTAGAATTTAAAATAAGATTAATACGAATATACCAGTGAGACTTGATGAAATATAATTATATATGTAATTTAGTATCTAAGAGATTATATATTTCAAATCTGGGGGGAGGCACTGAAGCCCCAAAGCGTTTCTAGGATTCAGGCTACCAGCATTGCTAAGGAATCCTTCGGAGCTGTGTTGATTTCCCATGGCCGCTGGAGGCCACTGTTCAACCATGATTTACCCCTCCCCCACCATCTGCATCAAGTAAAACATTTCACTTTAAATTCTAATGAGAAATGCATTTAAGAAGTTGCCCTCTTTGAGAAATTTAGCCTTGTTTTGTGCCATGTAAGGGACATGTCTGGATTCTGTAAGGAGAGATTTATGGTATTCATAGCCTTCTCAGTATTCATGATGATCAAGACAGTCAAAATTTAATTGGCCAAATGATTTGTTAACTTGCAATTGCAGATTTACCCTTTGTCCCAGTTGGTTTTCTCACAAGGAATCATGAAATTGAAGAGGAATGAAATCCTCTTTCTTCCAGAGTAATTACCTAAAATAAAACCTTGATCATTTTGTCTAGATTAATACAGATATCAAAAGAGGTAACTCACATAAGGTTTTAAGTCAAACAGTATTAGAAAGTTGCAACTATGTTGTATGTATTCTCAAGTACCTTAAATGTTTCTGTAGCACAGCCCATCAAATAATACTGTTTATTTGTCCTACATACTCTAATAGGCTTTCCCTTGTTTCAACTTGTACATTCACACTGCCTGTACACAGCAAGCATTTCTTTTGAGTTTCTTTCAAAATCTCATCTCTAGTTTGTAGTTTTCTTTCTAACTATATGTATAGAGATTTTTAAAATTATTCATCTTTAGTCCTTTGTTAATTAATTTGTAACAGATATACTTTTGTATCTTTCTTTGAATTTGGGTTCAACTAGCTCCTCTCCTTAATGAATATTTGGTTAACTGGACATGTTTTCCTTGGTATAGAGTACTAGATATTTTTCTAGTAAATTCTGCATCCTGCCATTATTGATGTTTAATGTTTGATGTTTACCCCCTAAAAACGAGTATTTTGTCTTAAAACTGTTAGAATCAAGATTATGATGTTTTTATCTCTTTTATTTTGCTTCCTTAGACATTCTAAGGATGAAATTAGAGAACAACATTGACATCATTGATCAGCTTAACACACTGTCTTCCCTGACAGTAAATATTTCCTCTTGTGTATTATATGACCGTATTCAGGGATCAAAAACCATAGATGAAATGGAGAGAGAGGCTAAAAGGCTCTACAAAACGAATGAACTTTTTGGAAGTAAGTGCTATTTTATTAGGGTTTGACCTTCTCTTTGTACTAAAATTGGCCAAATTCTTCCCTCACCTCTTTCATCAGGAACTCAGAAAAGTAGTCTGGGGGTCATTGCCTCCTCTGATGTCTTTAGAATTGAGAACCTTTCATGTAGTCAACCAACTATATTATCTAAGTGTGTCTAATTTTGTTAGTGTAGTTCAAATTAAGAGTGAAAAGGATCACATAGTTACGGGGTGAAGTTAAGTCCAACCTCATTACCAGTCAAGATTATTCATTTAAAAGTGTTTCTTTTTTATTTTAATAAGTGGCTTAGAGTGATGTATTTGATCTGGCCACTTAGTTTGTGATTATATTCTTAAACTCTAGCTTTCAATCTCTGAGGTTGACACCTCCAATTAACCATCTTTCCTGTAAATTAAGAGCCCGAACCCACTGTGATATCATTAACTCAGTTGACTGTTTGGCTGTCCCCTATGTGTACCCTCCAAACAATGAAAAGTGTCAACCATAAAATAACCTTTCTGCTCTTGTTACCATTTTATTTTTAGGTGTTATTTTTAAGCTTCCTTCTAACAGAAGCCGGCATGGAGGCTATGGCTCTGAAAATGTCTTTCTTCCTCCTGTCGTAAAATATACCATCCGCATGAGTCTCAAGACTGCGCAGACCACAAGAAGCATAAGAAGCAAGATTTGGGCCCCAGGGCCACACAATTCTCCATCAAACAACCAGATCTATGGCAGGGCTTTTATTTATTTACAGGATAGTATTGAAAGAGCAATCATTGAATTGCAAACTGGAAGGAACTCACAGGAAATAGCAGTTCAGGTTCAAGCAATCCCTTATCCCTGCTTCATGAAAGACAAGTAAGTCTGTGCACTCTCAGCCCTTTTTAATGCTCAGCCCTTTTTAATGCTTTTTTGAAAACTCACTTCAGTTCATTCATTTGGATGTATCAAGTGAAAGGGATAATATTCACCAAAGCTTTGCCATGTGCCTATTTCCAGGAAAGGCTACACACTATAGGCACAGCTCTTAGCTGCTCATCATTACCAAAATGATGGTAAAGTGCTTACCAAATGATCCATGTTTCCTTTCTCATGACTCTTACCTCTGCAAGAACTCTGGCCCCAGAACTGGGAGAATTGGACTCCAGACCGCAGCACATTGCTGCATGACTTTCATGTCACCACTGTCTACTTGTCTTCCCTTTCTCTAGTCAAATGAGGGAGATGAACCAGATAATCTTAAAATCCCTTCCAACTCTCCCAAATTTGATACAAATATGAGCTCAGGGTCAATTTTTAAGGGGAAAAAAAGGATGAAAGAAATCTTAAACACGTTATAGATCAACTCTGTGAGATAATTATTGTGCCATCCTAAACTGTCGTGTACTATCCAATTTGTTTGCTAGAAATCTCCTCTATTAATAAAATGGTTTTGGCCAGGTGCGGTGGCTCACACCTGTAATCCTAGCACTATGGAAGGCTGACACGGTTGGATCATTTGAGCTCAGGAGTTCGAGACCAGCCTGAGCAAGAGTGAGACCCCATCTCTACTAAAAAAAATAGAAAGAAATTAGCTGGACAACCAATATATATATATACATATATATATACATATATATATGTATATATATATATTAGCCGGGCATGGTGGCACATGCCTGTAGTCCCAGCTACTCTGGAGGCTGAGGCAGGAGGATTGCTGGAGCCCAGGAGTTTGAGGTTGCTGTGAGCTAGGCTGACGCCATGGCATTCTAACCCAGGCAACAGAGTGAGACTCTGTCTCAAAAAATTAAAAAATAAAATAAATAAATAAATAAAATAAAAATAAAATGGTTTTGCTAAGTGAATTTAAAAAGCTAAAGATATGCTTTCAGACAACTGAACTTGAATGTCCAAGAAATCAGCCAGTTGGGTAGCACCGGATGTCTCCTCCACTTTGAACACAGTTAAAAAGTAAGATTGAAGAACTAAGTTGTTCAAGCTCACTCTCCTACATAAAATATTAAGGCTGAATATTACTTTAAAAGAATCAAACTTGCTTCTCAACACAGTTGTTGCAGTTTATGTACAATTCAGATGGTTCTGGCTTTTTCTTTCTTTTCTTTTCTCTTTCTCTCAATGTTTCTGTCTCCCTTGGCTACTTCAAGAGTTATAGATGAGATGAGGTCATGTAACTCTTTGTGCAACCGTGATATGGGGAGACAGATCAGGATTCCAGCGAGTGGGCTGTCAAGGTTAGCTGGCTATTGTAGAGGCCAGTCACGACTTTGCTGCCTGAACTATGTGTGAACTGCAATGGCTTGCACGAACATAGAAGACCTATGGGTTCAATTAAATTAAAATGCTCATTGATTTACCTGCTCATTTGTTTTACCCTTGTGAATTTTGGTATCTAGAATGGTGCGTACCTGGATGTTTCTTTAAAGAATAAAAGTAACTACCCTCTTTATGGGAGTATGATCGTAATGTCTTACATATACGTATAACACTTTGTTGCATACAAAGTGCTTTCACGTATATTATTACTTAACTATTTCATTTGTTTCACTCAAAACCTCGTAAGGTAAATGGGAGCAGGAATTATTATCCATATTTTCCAGATGAAAAAACTGAAATCCAGAAAGGTTTAGTAACTTGCCCAAGTTTATATAGCTGGTATCACATGCTCCTTCCTATGATAAGACCAGCGATTTCTCCCATATACTAAACCAAACCTGAAAAACACAATCATTTGGAAGAAACATTACCGGGAATTTATCATTGATGAATGAGAGCCTTGCTTAATTCTGGATCCAGAAATATCATCAAGGCTGGACCTGGACCTAAACAAAATTCATTTGATAAATCTTTAAGTACTAATTTCATGCCATACAGTTTCCCAGGACACAAAAACATTGGATATGGCCCCAACTCCCTCTACTCCCCCACCCAAAACACCTCATCTCTCTGATGACCATAGACTTCTGCATGCTAGAGTGATATTGATTGAATGGAGTGGTGTCATGTTCCATAAATACTTGTATTTTTCTTGGGATACTTGAAGGTAATTCTTTAGCCTTATAGAATAAAAAGGAAATGGCCTTGGGACCTTTCTCCAAGTGAAAGCTTCTGTAAAGCCCAATATGCAAAACAGATCAATTTAGAAAACTACTTCCTTAGCCTCAGTCCATAGAAGAGAGGCAATTGTCAGAATAGTGGCTGTTAAAATATGCATGTCAGCATCACCTGGGAAGTTGTTTAAAATGCAAAATCCTGGCCCCATCCCAGAGATAGTAAATCAGAAGCTTATGGATGAGGCCCAGAAGTTTGTGTTTTAATAAACTTTTCAGGTGCTTCGAATGCAGTTGACTTTGAGAACCCTTGCTTGCATTTGGACTTTCAGGTGCCATGGGTAGGACACTGGGGAATGCATCTGGGTCTTGATGAGGTCTTCCAGTGACCCTCTAGTTTAGCATATCATCAGAAAAGACATTTCTATACAATTTATGAAACATCTCCAAGAGCATTACTTTGAGGAGTCCAAGTTCTTTGTCCACGTTTTAAATCAAATGTTTAGGGTTTCATTTCATTTTGGAAATTTTAGTTTAATAAGAACTATAAGCTCCCTAAGAGTAGATAAATACAGTAATTTTGGAAGATACGCTTTTAGTTAGATAAACCAATCATCATCTAATTTTAAATTTGCCTTTTAGATAAGAATTTAGTTTAAACAGAAGGGTTTTGAGCCTTGCAATCATATCTATTAATATATAATAACTATTTTCCAGACAGGACATAGTCAACACAATTTAAACAATATGGCAATTTTATCTAACAATCTAGAGCTGTTTTTTTCACTCTTGCAGCATTATAGCAAAAAAAATTGTAGGCCCACTTTTAAGTCACCTGCACATTTCATAAATAATGGGGTAATCATAATTATTTTCAATTTCAAACCAGGAGTATAATTTCAATGTAGGAGGATGTGTGTTCTTTATGTATTACAATCTGCAAGTGTCACATTCATTTTGGTCACTGAATTTTTGTTTTTGTTTTTGTTTTACAGTTTCCTAACCAGTGTCTCTTATTCTCTTCCAATTGTGCTTATGGTTGCCTGGGTTGTATTTATAGCTGCTTTTGTAAAAAAGCTTGTTTATGAGAAAGACCTCCGGCTTCATGAGGTATGTTGAGAATCTCTTCTTGTTATAAATATAATATTCTATAATAATAGAACAATTAATTACCATGATTTTTGTTGTGCCTATACAAACTCAGAAATTCTAACCCATATCTTATGAATTAGATAGAAATAAAAATATTTTGCAAATCATAAAGGCAGCTGATAAGGCAATATTTTGTTTTCTAAAAAAGTGACATATAGTCACTTAGTAAGTGCCTCTCTGAAAAACAAAATCTGAATAATTAGAAATAAAATATGAGTACAATTATAATCCTAAGAATAATTTTTGCTCGAGAAATTACCTATAGAATTTAGGATCTAACAGAGGAAGTTTAAAGTAATAAAAATAATAACTATTAAGGCAGGAAGATTATTGGCAAGGTAAGTAAATAAATCCAAATGTAGCTATAGCTATAGATATAGTTATAGACATAAACACAAACATAGATATATGGTTTATTTTGGCCCTCACAAAAAAATTCTCTTTCCAGTATGCCTTGTCGCCTTCAATTACCTTCTCTATTTTCCACTGATTCCTTATTTACAGATACTAAGAATTTGATGTTATGCTACTGATTGGGTTACTAATAATGTCACAATGGAAGACAGGACCAGGAGTACAAAGTATGCTCTTTTCCTGGGCATGTTCTTCATCATTAACCTAAAATCCAAAATATCTTACTTCTGTTTAGAATTTATTATAAAGCATTGTGTGGTTTTTATATTGTATTTGAATAGAATTTATTTCATCTGCTCATCCCAGAGTGAGTCTGTTCCTATACTTACTCATGTGGTGGAAAGGAAGATGAAACATTTCAAAACTCAGTCACAATAACTATTGCAAGGCCTGAGTGAAAAATCTAAAATAATGAGGTTGGAGCATCCTGTTAGTACACTTGTACTTTTCAGACTTACCTTGCCAGTGCTTCGAGGCAATTGATCATTTCTCCTTACAAGATACAAATCACTGCTTCATATTTCTGTTGTAGTTGAGGATCAGCCTTCCAGGGTTGGCCCAGAAATATAGATAAGAATCCTATGTTTATTACCTTTTCTATTTGAATTCTGATTAATCGTCACAGTGGCATTTGTATATTTCAGTTACAATTTAGTAAATGTCTCATCAACTGGTTTGAGTCCTGTGATATGCAGGACTATTTGCAATAATTTCCTGATTCCAATTTGGAAACTTGAATCCATGTTCTGGACTCTAATTTTGGTTGCAAGTCCCTACCTTATATTTCTCTTTCAGGTTCCTACTACTCAGAAGTGAAACAGATTAAAGGAAAACTCTGAAGTAGAAAATTGTGATAGAAACTGAGTTGTTTTCTACTTCAGAATAAATATCTATCTTAAAAATATTACTCGTGATAGAAATAGTAAATAAGTGTATATGTGTACAGTATATATACACATATGTGTGTATAATATGTATGTGTATACATGCTACATAACATTGTATTATTTTGTGTTTGAAGATGGTGCTTTCTGAAGGCATCCATGTATGTCACCAAAAACTATCAAAGCATAATGAAGAGTCTTTTCTAAATTGAAAAATCTATTTTTAACAGTGAGACAGTTTCTGTTTGGGAGCTCTGTGTCTTCATTAGGTAGGCATCTACTTTCACAATGTAATCACCTGGTCTTGGGGTGAAAGTTAGACACCAGAAGCTCACTGAACTTGGAATCAGAGTATCAGGTTTTGTCTTCTAGTTCTATCAGCCATGTGCACTTGGGCCCAAACCCTTAAACTCTCTGAGTCAGATCATCTATACTTCATTTAACATTGTATTTCCAGAATGTAGCTCTCTCACTGCCAGAACAGAGGATGATGTGTTCAATTACTCATATTTTATTAATTCTAAGACATTGATTTTTTTTTTTAACTTTTTAAAGCCTCTGAAATTAGCATGCATTTGATAGTGTCATGAATTATTTGGCAGTGATTTTTCTTTTCTGGTGGCATGTAAAATAACGGCACATCCTAAATGGTGTCCTAAATTCAAAGGAACATGGTACATTTGTAACTGATAGAGACAGGCATTGAAAGAGTAGGATGTTCACAGTACCTCCTGCTCAGCCTGTCTGCACTGCCCACAGTTCTCATCTCACCTCCTCCTTTGGGAAGATGACAAAGTTGAGCCCAGAACATGAGAGGTGACTTGCTGAAGACTCTGGAGCTAGTTTATGGTAGATCTGGCATAGAATTTAGGTATCTTGACTATCAAGTGTCCTTTTCCATGCCATAGCTACCTTCTCCCTTATAATCTTATTTTAATAATATAGACACTTTTAAGAACAATTGAAAGCTATGATGGAGAATCTCTTAAGTTACCAGAGACTCCAAATCATTTTTTAATTTCATCATTTTATATTCAGTTACAGTCTAAAGCTGCCCAAACCCTACACTCTTCTCATTCAAATTAAGTCAAAAAGGTAAAGAAAATCAATATGCTCCTTTTTCCTTATGTAGCTATTCTAAAATCTTGTAAAGAAAGCTAAGTTAGTTGCTATCTCAATGAAGCCATCAATCTTTGACCTTGTTATGGTATGATTCCGTGAATTCCTTTACCTTGTTAAAGAAATTAGCACAAATGCTAAATGTCCAGTAAGTTTACTTATAAAATTGAGCCTGTCATTTAAAAAAAAAACTACCTTAAAAATGCCTTTCAATTGAGTTCTGTTCTGCATTCCTTGCTATTAAACATTAAAATATTAAAGCTATAAAAAGCTGATTTTATAACAAACAGAGAAAAAAATATTTTTTCTCATTATTTTCATGGTTTATGGATTAGCTTCATTTATTTGATCTACGAAAAATCATTGCTAGGGCTTTCAGCACTTACATTTAGTTAGAGATGGAATTTTGGAGTCATTCTCTCAGTTCAGACAGGTAACCTGAAATATCTGTGGGCTGCAGAGATGTTACCAAGAATTATGCAAGGATTTTTAGTCCACCGATTCCTCACACCAGACAATTTTTATGCTCTCCTGGCATGCACTATCCACCCCACTGATGACAACTTGGAACATTCCAAGTAACGATTACAACATCCTTTATATTACACTAAAAAAAAAAAAATAATATAAATATCTATTGTTAAGAGAATTATAAAAATGGATAGAAAATGTTATTATTCCTCATAAATTATACTTGACATACTTGTTGAATTGAATGAAAACATTGCTGTCAAGTAAGTGTATGAGTATTTATGACTTCCTTTCCTGACAGTTTCAATGTCAACCCCTGTGCATAAGCTTCTGATGAATGTGGCAGAACATTCATCCAAAATCTTATAGAATCTCTTTCTTATCATTCTCTGCTGTAAACTGGTGCAGATTCTGACCACTGTGCAGACGAGTGTTCCTTGAGCAACAAGTTATCAGATATTGATGAATTGCCCTGGCAGGTTTGAGAGGCTTAAGACAAGTGACTCTTTGATTACAAAGCTGGCACCTGACATCTGTCACTTTGAGGAGGAACTAACAGCATCCAAGAAAGCACAGCCAGCCACCCTCTGTGGGCCACCTTCCATCCACAAGTTTGGCCTTGTTTATGACAGCACAGTTGGCAGTGAATCTGGATAATTTAGGGATGACTTATACGCTCTCATTGCCTTTCCTCTTTATGAATAGCAACTGTGCTCCTTGTGGCATAAAATCCTGAAGTTTACCACTGAAGTTTCATGCTGGAGTGTTAAATAGTGAATAGTTCTAGAAGCACCTAACTCAGCCTGTTTCGATAAGGAGCAAAATGATCAGTCTCCAACTTCTATCAACTCCTGAAAATAGGAATTTTTTGATCTTGAGTCTCAAAAAATTTCTGAATACAGGGATAAATACTTTTAGCTATGGCCTTCAAGCCTACCAAATTATCTTTTAACAAGTCTATGAATGGAGAATATTCTAGATATATAAGATTTACACTGCAGCTATCAATTGCAAGGGAAGAAAAAACATGTTTATACACCTGATATCAGCTTTATTTCATGGCCTTGATGCATCCTAGATATTTTATATCCACCTCATGAAATATATTAACATTGTTCCCTACTGACATACATTGCTCTTGGGGGAAAAGTATTTTTGTACAGGCCACATAAAATTAAGTGGTAAATACCAGCTTTGGAAGTAGTTATATAGGTTCCATAACTCTTCAGGTACTTCTAGTCAAGTAGGCATAAATTCAGGAAAAACTTCAAAATACATATAGCAGGAAAGGCAAATAAAAGAGCTAACATTATCATAATCATATTGGAATCGAGGAGTATCTCTGAAATGCAGTCATCAAACGTGGCATAGTAATTTTTTTCAAATGGAGTGGGGTAAAGGCAAAGAATTTCTGGAATAAGCTCTCTGGTCTTTTTTCATACCAAAATGTAATTTTGCGTTCAATGATAGGCTATGTAGCAATTAAGGGAAACTTTCCATAGTGAACTTGGTTCTATGCTAATTTTTCACTTTGGCCCATTCCCATGGAAACCTAGGTTGGGTCTTTACTGCAAAGGGTGACAGGGCCTAGGTGGAGAAAAACATTAGGAAGAGAAGAAGGTGAGGAAGAAGGCAAAGTTCTGAGGAAAAGTCACAGGCTTTTCTTCAGTGGTGATTAGTTTAAAGCCCACAGCTTAGACTGTTGGCAGTCAGGTAGCTGTTTCCATGGTAACAACAGGAGCAGCAGAGTTATCGAAATGTGATAAGTTACCAAGGCAGAAAGTAAAATTCACTATTTTGCTTGTAGAGCAAAAGAGCCAGTGCATTCCCTATTATTTTTTTTTTTCCTAGACAAGTTAGGTTTAAGGGCGTGGGGCCTTGAAAATCCTTGATTTTTGCAAAAAACATTGGATTATAATCCGTTAGTGGAGCATTTCTTTTGTTTTATTTTTTTTTATGGGATATTAGGTTCAGAGGCTTAACATTAATCATGAATTATTAAAATGAGGAACCAGGATAGCCAGGTTCCCCCAACCAATGTCCAGGAGACTTTAGATCTTTCAGAATCCTTTTCAGTTAATGCACAAACAGATCATGCCGGTTTGTTTTTCTACCTTATAGAATGCCTTAGCCTCTGCAGATATCACTGATTTATATCGAAGAATATCAGTTGAGAGAGAGGTATAAGTATCTCAGATACACGAGTTTACTATGAATGTATGAATGTCTTTTTGGAAAACAAAGATGACAAACACGACCTAGATTACCAGTAAATGTTATGAAGGGGAAGTTATGGCTAAAGGCAGAAGGTCTCCCTTAAGTTTCCATGTTTTAAATTCTTAGGAATCAGGTCTATTCTTTTCCTCTCAGAAACACGAATACGATGGTGTTGTTCATTAATGTGTAATAAAAAAATTATGTATTTTTATTATCTCAGTCTCTACATTGAACTTGTAGTTAAACCATGCTTTTTCACCAGCTTGAAATATTCATGCCTGCACAAATGTCAAAGTCATATTGTAAAATTCTGCAGGGGCTACCATAAATTTGATGATCTATTCTAAATTAGTTTAATCTGTAGACATCAGCTAGATACCAATTATAAAGTGGAATGGTAATTAAAAAAATAAAGAAACTCACCCTCCAAATCATTTATCATATTGGGGCTTTCTGAGAGCATACAGTCTAAGATGGACTGGTATATAGAAGTATATTTCACACAGCAAGCATGAACAAATACTTGATTTATGTAAATCATTAAGATGCCTAGTTTCATTATCTATGGAGACTGTCATGGACATTTTGATATGATACAGGAATAATTGTTATTTAGGAGATTATCAGCATAAAAGGCAGCTAATACTTTTTCCTTCTTACAGTACATGAAGATGATGGGTGTGAACTCCTGCAGCCATTTTTTTGCCTGGCTTATTGAAAGTGTTGGATTTTTACTGGTTACCATCGTGATCCTTATTATTATACTCAAGTTTGGCAATATTCTTCCTAAAACGAACGGGTTCATTTTGTTCCTGTATTTTTCGGACTACAGTTTCTCAGTTATCGCCATGAGCTATCTTATCAGTGTCTTCTTCAACAACACCAACATTGCGGCTCTGATCGGAAGCCTCATCTACATCATTGCCTTTTTCCCATTTATTGTTCTGGTCACAGTTGAGAACGAGTTGAGCTATGTAATAAAAGTATTCATGGTAAGTCAGCTGTTGAAATGGTCAGTGTAGGAGATGAATAGACTAAATAGACTCTGCTTTTAGACTCTTTTTTGTATTGTTTTGTTTTATTTTAATTTCAGAATATTATTGGGGTATAAACACTTTGGTTACATAAATTGCCTTTGCACTGCCGAGTCAGAGCTACAAGTGTGCCCATCCCCCAGATAGCTCACACTGCACCACATCCCTTAGGTGTGAATTTACTCATCCCCTCCTCCCCCCTCCCACCTGCCTGACACCCTATGACTGTTACTTCCCATATGTGCACATTAGTGTTGATCAATTAGTACCAATTTAATGGTGTGTACATGTGATGCTTGTTTTTCCATTCTTGTGATACTTCACTTAGAAGAATGGGCTCCAGCTCCATCTAGGATAATACAAGAGGTATTAATTTACCATTTGTTTAGGGCTGAGTAGAACTCCATGGTATACATATACCACATTTTATTAATCCACTCCTGTATTGATGGGCACTTGGGTTGTTTCCACTGAAAGTTCACTTGTCTACATTTAAAAATTCAATAATAGCAAAACAAGCTTAATGTCCTAATGATAGTCAGTTTTTGTTCTACATCATTGTATACCATACATGTATAAGACAATGAGAACCTTCCAAAACCATAACACATGATGCTGTTAAGAAATATTTGCTAAAGAGAGAGCAGTTAAAATGGGATACATGATATTTTAGAGGTCATCAAGAATTCTGACTTCTCTCTGGTCCAATTCCTTAGACATCTTGGAGCCTCTAGTATTGGAATTATTCTCATGTGTGAACAATTCTCATGGTTTTCATGACACATAATGCAACTTACAGGCATAAAGACAAATGCACTGACAGCATATAATCAACTCTAAATTCTTTTCTGCCTTTTCAATTCAAGAGCACTAAATTAATTTAAGAATTTTAACAAAAGCATTAAGATTTACTGACTTCAAAATTTGGAAAGCCAGAGCAAATCTCATCATATTAAAACCTTGCTGTTTATGGAAACAGAAAGTAATGAATAACTTTCATCTAGCATTGACTCTTTTGGGTTTAAACAAAAATTAAATTTGTTGAAGTTGTCAGTATTCAATGAACTGATATTTCAGTGTATTTTTATTTGTAGTCTTTCAATTACCTGAAATATATATATAATAAATTTATGAAGTGAAAACATCTTCTGGCCCCTAATGTTTTCATTTAATTTTAGTCTCGACACTGGGTTACTCTGTAATTACCTATTTTATAAATTGCTGAGCAACATTTAATAAGTTTACATATATATTTTGAATTTTTAACAAATATTTTCCAAGTTGCAATTTCCCTACTTTTCTTTCCCTACTTTTCTATTCTTTCAGAAATGTAGCATACTTGCTAAGGGATCTCTGTATTTTTAAATATGCTTAGAGAGCCAGCATCAATTTTATCTACACAAATGTCTAATGTTTTAAGTATTTTAAGATCCCTCTGGGTGAAGTGTATGAAATCTACAAGAACTATCATTGCTGTTCATTTTCTTCGCAGAGCCTGCTGTCCCCAACAGCATTCAGTTATGCAAGCCAATACATTGCACAGTATGAAGAACAAGGCATTGGTAGGTTCACTTCCTCTAAAACTGGATTTTATCTTTCGCAACTGTGATATGTGTCACGGAAGAATAAACATCTGTGTTCACTTTTTAGGTCTCCAGTGGGAAAATATGTACAGCTCCCCGGTTGAAGATGACACCACTTCATTTGGCTGGCTGTGCTGTCTAATCCTAGCTGACTCTTTCATTTATTTCCTTATTGCTTGGTATGTCAGGAACGTTTTTCCAGGTACGAACATGCTTCCTATGGATATATGCTTTTTATGGTTGTCATCCTTATAAATCAGGAGATTATATAATCTATATATATAATTATATATTATTAGGATACATGAAATATATAATACAGAAATATATATATATATTATAACCATTAATAATTATTATTCATTATAAATGTATTATATATATACTATTATATATAATCAGGATACTATATATATATATATATATATGTTCTGCTATTTGATTTGCCATATATAATCTCCAAAAAAATACTCTAATCCCAAAACTAACCCAAACTTTTCAGGATGAGATAGTTTACTGCTGAGTTTCTTCTCTGATATCCCTTTAAAGATGGAGTGAATTAAGAAACATGGAATAGGCCGGGGGGTGGCTCGTTTGAGTCAGGAGTTCGAAACCAACCTGAGCAAGGCGAGACCCGTCTCTACTATAAGAGAAAGAATTAATTGGCCAACTAAATATATACAAAAAATTAGCTGGCAGGGTGCATGCCTGTAGTCCCAGCTACTCGGAGGCTGAGCGCAGCAGATTGCTGACCCAGGAGATTGAGGTTGCTGTGAGCTAGGCTGACGCCACGGCACTCACTCTAGCCTGCAACAAAGTGAGACTCTGCTCTCAAAAAAAAAAAAAAAAAAAAAAAAAAAAGAAACATGAATATGTTAAAATCAACCCAGTCTTTCCACATAAGAGAGTGAGATATTATCAGGCAGAAGTTGACTCTCCTAATTCTAAGGAGAATTTACCAGATTGTAAAGGAAGAAGATGAGTTGGATTCTCCCTTCTAGGTCTCAAGCAGTCATCCTTTCTAACATGCTTATGTTTTTCCATAGAGCCTTATTTATAATTGTGCATTTTTCGGTGCTTTAAGCAAATAGAAGAGGATGATTTCATTTGTATAAGATTTGTATTTCATTTGTAAAAGACAAAATACCATGTTTCCCCCAAAAATAAGACCTGCCCATAAAATAAGCCCTAGCAGGATTTCTAAGCATTTTCACAATATAAGCCCTACCCCAAAAATAAGACCTAGCGATGGGTGTGGCTAAGCAGCGTACCTACACAACCCATGCATTTCGTCGTCGTGAAGTGGTAAAGAAGATGAGCAGCCCTTCTCATCTGCCCCATGAGAGCTCTATTGCTCGACATGAGAGATTGGGGCCAATGGTTCTAAAGGAAATAGAATTGCAAGAAATTCAGGATTGAATTCGGGGTTTGGAGAGTTACGATGATGTTCCAGAACAAGACTACTTAACTATATTTGAATAAATGTAGATTGTTGTACCGTACTTAAAAAAAATAACACATCCCCTGAAAATGAGCCCTACGGTGTCTTCTTGAGAAAAAATAAATATAAGACACTGTCTTATTTTGGGGGAAACACGGTATATAGAGAAAGAAAGCAGTTCAGTGATTGGGATTTAGGTGGGAGCAGGGATTATCTGCAAATGTGCATAAGAGAACTTTTACAAGTGATAGAAATGTTCTAACATGGGACTGAAGTGATGGTTGCACAACTTTATACATTTACTAAAAGTCATCTAATTGGACACTTACAATGGGTAAATTTTATGGTATGTGATTATACCTCAATGAAGCTGCTTTAAGAAAATACAAAGACAAGAAAGATTATCTTTTTTACTTTCATTTGGAAACAGAGACCATCCTCTAGTTTTATGTGGTATTGAGAAAATGAAACTACTTCCTGAACCATATATAGTAGTCTATTGTTTAGTTTCTGATGCTTAATGTTAAGAATCAATTAATAATCACTTTTCTTAATACGTATTTATTACAGGGACATATGGTATGGCAGCTCCATGGTATTTTCCAATCCTTCCATCCTATTGGAAGGAGCGATTTGGGTGTGCAGAGGAAAAGCCTGAGAAGAGCAATGGCCTCATGTTCACCAATATCATGATGCAGAACACCAACCCATCCGCTAGTAAGACGAGTAGGTCAACAACATGCATTATTATGAGAGAACCAATATAAAAATTACATGACTAATAGTTTTAATTATGTTTTTCTAAATGGCAAAATTATCATCCTTTTAGTCATGGATGAGTATGCCTACGCATATATGTTTGGGCTCTTCGGGGGATTAAATTGTGGCTTTTTCTGGGCTCATTAGTTCAGTCGGTCAGCATATGGCACTAATTAGACCAAGACTGTAGATCCCTTTGTGGTCCAGTTAGATTCACACAGAGAAAAATTTTGTTCCTTGGCCACAGTCTACACCCTAACTCCAGCCATCTGTCACCAGTCATAAGAAGTAACAAAGTAACAAATGTGGGTAATTTAGCATAACTCATCACTAACACTGGAAAAATAGTTTAAAGCTTGTCTTACTAACATTGGGTGCATAGTGTCATCTTTATAAAGTAAGTATGACCCACATTAGTGGTCTTTTTCTGATGCCTGCAGGAGGTGTAGATATGAATAGTAATTAATGAACTGGATTCTATAAACTACAGATCTAAACTAGTCTTGTTAGTATAAAATCACAACTTGTAGGTATTTATTCCATAAATTTTTACCCTCCTGCCAAATCAGAAAACCAAGCCTTAAGCTTTAAACTTAGCTTTTGAATATTTGAGATCTGTTAAAAAAAAGTAGAATCTATAAATATTATTCCATACCCTGGGACTACTTTTTCCAACAGAGAAGGGTGATATAAACCTTAGCTCTCCACTCTCATCCAATCTGTAACCAAGTGAGAAGAAGGAGACTATACTAAATCATTGACTATACTAGTACATTAGACTATACTAAATCATTTGTTCCTGGAATTTTTTTACTTGCAGAATTGTATTTTTATAGTCTTCAATTTTTAATTAAGATAAAGTCTAACTCTAGCTGCATTTTCTTATTCATGAGCTTACAACTCTTCCCTTGATTTCTCTCCAGGTCCTGAGTACATGTTTCCCTCCAACATTGAGCCTGAACCTAAAGATCTCACAGTCGGGGTTGCCCTTCATGGGGTCACAAAGACCTATGGCTCAAAGGTCGCTGTTGATAACCTCAATCTGAACTTTTATGAAGGGCATATTACTTCATTGCTGGGGCCCAATGGAGCCGGGAAAACTACTACCATGTATGTTACTTTCCAACACATTGTCATAGAAGCATATAACAAAAAATATAGTTTTATTAATAAACTAACCTCTTTTATAAAAGATAAAGTTATTACATTTCCCAGATGGAGTCACATGGTTCAACTTGTATACTATAGAATGCAGTATAAATCTGAGGTCCTAAATTGTGAGCTCAAACATCAAGTTGGGCCAAGGATGATTTGGTCTACCTAGTAGTGGTGGCTTACCCAATACTTCTCAAAATGTTTGATTCAGTGCCAATATTTAAAAATGGAGAGTTTTCTAATAAAAATAAATATTCTTGGCATCTCTTAGATACCAGGAAATTCTATAGCACTGAGTCCATGTTCTTAGGTTGAGACTACCTGTTGAAGCTCGTTAGTGACTGATCTCTCATCCCAATTGCTACAGATCTGTACTGCCTCATACCCCAGGCTGTTTCATTTCTTTGTATTCTAAACTGGCCCTTGTATAAGTTTGAGTTGGCACATCCTGGTGTAAACACAGCCCCAGCTGCCCCATCACAGGAATCCCTTGCCTTGATTACTAAAGAAACAAAAGAACCACCACCGACCAGATGTAAACCAAAGAGGCCAGGAGTGGTACTTGGGCTGTTCTTCCTTACTCTTCACTTAAGTAGCTTTTCCTTGTGTCAGAATGGAGAAGCGACTTACATGTCTTTAAAGTGACATTCTTTTGAATTCTTATGTGTGTGGTTTGCCTCCAAAGCTCCACATCTGCTTCCTTGGTGAGTCAGCACTAAGATGCTATTGGCGCTCTAGCCCTTGTTTGAGAAAAAGTATCGCTTTGCTGCATATCCTATTAAGCATCATCACAAGTAAGCTCAGCAACTGCCAAAACATTGGGATTAAACATTTTTTGTTTTGGTAAATAAAAGAGGATAAAGGAAGGTCATGAGATGAGGGAACATCCAGCCTCTCTCATTTGCATGACCAGTGTAATGTCAGAGTTGGCTTTTTAGGGAGAACACAGTGCCTGAAAGGGCAGATTGCTAGTAGGCAATAAGAGACCAGTGAAGAAAAGAACTAGAAAAAGCTTTAGAAGAGGCTATAATTTTAGCTGAGAATGCCCCTATTTTATTGTTCTAAATATAAACCTTTAATATAAGGAATAAGTTATATTATTTGTATTTCAATGTGTTTTTATGGACAAATTGCACATTCTGTTGATTCCCTGTTTAACCCACAAGGCTTCAATGCCAGGCACTGGTTAGGAATGGCACCGAGTGCTGAGAAAACAGGTCCTTCCCTTGACCTCATAGAGCTCATATTATAATGGAGGAAATGGGTATTAAATAATGTCCAGTTTGCTAATCATCTGAAAGATGATGGGAAATTAGCTAGGTGAAAATACTCTAGTCTCAGTGTAGGGAAAAGGACTGGAGATGACCAAGCAGCATGTGGGAAGTAGAGTTAGGAGCTTACAGTGATGAGTTAGGCAGGTGGTGACAGGGGCTGGCCCTGTGGTGGTAGCCGTGGAAATGGAGAGATGGGGGTGGTAGCTGTGGAAATGGAGAGATGGGGGTGGTAGCTGTGGAAATGGAGAGATGGGGGTGGTAGCTGTGGAGACATAGAGGTGGGAGCGGGTGTGAAAAATGACTTCCAGATTCCAGTCTTGTGCAACCATTCTATGAATGTATTGCACAGTGACAGTGGTAGGTTCAACAAGGGTGTGGTTTTGTGGGCGCAGATCATAAGCTCGGTTTTAAACATGTTGAGTTTGAGAACATTGTAAGACATCTCACAGAGAAGTGTCAGTATCTGTTAGAGGCATAGAGCAAGGCTGGAACTGAGTGATGGGGCCAGGGCTAGAGAGATAAATGTGAGGCATGTCAGCCTGTAGATACTAAGGGATGCCCGGGAAGTGCCTGAGTTTGCTCAAGGAGAGAGTGTGTGTGCAATGAAAAAGCACAACCACTTTTGTCATTATTACCATCACCACCCTCACCATGGAGTGTTAACACTTAAAATTATTTAAAAGTAATTTTTATTTTTTATTGGCATTTAATACCATTTTATTTCATAATCTGTCCTTGCTTAAGAAGATACACTATAACATTTTTTTTTTAACTAACAACTGAGATATATTTAGTCCCGATATCTAGCTTAAATGCTTGGTTCATACCTAATTTATCATTTCTTCATTTCCAGTTCCATGTTGACCGGGCTGTTTGGGACCTCAGCAGGTACCATCTTTGTGTACGGAAAAGATATCAAAACAGACCTAAACATCGTGCGAAAGAACATGGGGGTGTGCATGCAGCATGACGTCTTGTTCAGTTACCTCACCACCAAGGAACACCTTCTCTTATATGGTTCCATCAAAGTTCCTCACTGGACTAAAAAGCAGCTCCACGAGGAAGTAAAAAGGTGAGTTATGACAGGAATGAGAACATGAGTTACTCTCATGAGAACATGAGTCCTCTCACAGACCATTAGCTTGGTTGGGAAAGTTCTGGTAACAATACCAAGAGAAGATGTTTTCTCACAAACCAGTTGCTTTTTAGTCTTTCTACTTCTTTGAGATTGCATGCATTTAATTATAATTGTATGCATTTAATTATCCTCACCAGCCAGTTATTACACTGATATTGTTTAACTCCCTTCATCTCTGGCTCCCATATTGCCTCAAATCCTTTGCTTCCAGTCTCCATGGATACTACACTGGTCTAAGCCTCCTAACTAGACTCCTAGCTTCAACTCTTCCTTTGTACAATCTGGGAAGAGGGGCCAGGGTGATCTTTTTCAACTGCAAATCAGACCATGTCACGCCTGGGTTCAAACCCTCCAATGGCTTCCTGCCGTACTCAGTGTGATGCTCAGTAATGTCCTTATCAAGACTACAAAGTCCTCCATGACTTGCCCCCAATCTCACTTCTGATTTCATTTTCTCCCACTCTCTCCCACATTCACTCTACTCTAGGCACACTGGCCTAGTTGTGTGCTTGACTATACTAGGCCTGCTCCAGTCTTTTGCTTTCTCTTGCCTCTACTCACAGCACCCTTCTCAGACAGCCATTTATTCGTGGTCAAATGACTACATTCTTTTTCTCTGCCCAAATGTCGCCTTCTCTCAATTGATCACCATGTATAAAATAGATGCCTAAAATAGCATGCGCCAAACACTCCTTATCTCACATACCCTACTTTATTTATGTTTTATTGTCCTTATCACCACCTGACATGTTATAAACTTCCTTGGGAATGTGTTTGTGGATTGGATTTCCATGCATCCCTCTGGATACACACACATACTAGAACATAATCTCCTTGTGAGTAGAGACTTTATCTGTTCACTGCTTTTCCCAAGCATTAAAACATAGCCTGGCACAAAATAGGCAGGCACTCTATCAATATTTGTCAATTGAATGAAGTATATATTCCCTTGTGATTTTTCTGAGTATTAATTTGGTACCTACAACTGGGTGACAAATAATGGAAAACTACATCATGAATCCTCAGTAGTTGATTGTATCTTACTGAGCACATAATATTTGCTTAGTGAATATCATCACTGTGTTTATTATATTTTTCCAGTATTCAGATAGTCTATCTGTAAAAAATAACCATCATACATTATTTTCTAAGGACTTTAAAAGACACTGGGCTGTATAGCCATCGTCATAAGAGAGTTGGAACATTGTCAGGAGGAATGAAGAGGAAGTTATCTATATCCATAGCTCTCATCGGTGGATCAAGGGTAGTAATTCTGGATGAACCATCCACTGGCGTTGACCCATGTTCTCGCAGAAGTATATGGGATGTTATATGCAAGAACAAAACTGGTATGAGTACTTTTTCATAACTTCTCCACCCACAGTCATAATTCTGCCCTCTGGGATACACACATGAAAGTTGAAGCCTCTTCTGTGCATGATATCCTTTAAAGTCTAAGATTGGCTCTTTCTTTTCCCAAGATTTTTCTCCTCCCAGGCAACTTTCTGGCTCAATTTGTTATTATCTGTCTAGTGCCCACTGTGAGTTGAGCACTTAACTGGCCTTTTTGAGAGCACGCAAATTCAACAGAAGTTCCAAAGTCTGCTTAGAGGAGTGAAGAATCTAATTAGAGATATCAAACATACACAAACAAAAATAAACTGAAAACAGACTAAATAAGTGCTAACAGGATGTGAAGCAAAGGAGTAATCAGGGTGGAGTGGATTAATCAGAGAGGAATATTCAAAAAGTCTTTAAAATTATCGCTTTCTTGTAGTGAAGAAAGGGAATAAAAACAGAGTGCAAAATGAAGCCAGAGGAGCAAAACTGACAGATTGGGAAGAGTTGCCAATGCCCACGCGGTAAATGACGGACATTTAGCCAGTCAGCATAATATTAATTTGCTTCCAATTTGTGTGGAAAACACCCCCAAATATTTAAGAACACCCCTTCTGAATTTTTCTTTGATCATTCTGGAAGTTCCTTGTGGTCAGTTAGTTTTTCAATCAGCTCATAAAACGTGACCCTTCTCCTCATGATGTCACAGGACTTCCTCCTGCTAACTCTGTGTATCTTGGGCCCGGTGTCTTCGTTTTTCATTCTCTGTTGGTCTCATCTGTATTTTCAAGCCAGAACAATCATTCTGTCGACGCACCATTTGGACGAGGCCGAAGTGCTGAGTGACCGCATCGCCTTCCTGGAGCACGGCGGGCTGCGGTGCTGCGGGTCACCCTTTTACCTCAAGGAGACGTTTGGGGATGGATATCACCTCACGCTCACCAAGAAGAAGGTTGGTAGGAGAAAACATACCTCCTTATAGAGTCATTAATTTTTTATAGGAAATGGAGGCAGAATCTAACTTCATTCATTGCTAAAATTCATTAATATGCTAGCTTCATGGTTCTCAAACTTGAGTGAACTTCCAAGTTCTTTTAACCAAGACCTGAAGGTTAAAACTCAGATTTCTGGCCCCACCTCAGGAGGGTCTGAGTCGGTAGGTCTAGGAGTGGGACCAGAAGTTACTCCACTTGTAACAAGTTCCAGGGGGTGCTGTACTGCTGGTCCAGGGACCACACATCGAGAAGCAATGCAATGGGTAAAAAATGACCTGCACCTTAACGTTACTGATGGAGACTCAGCCTTTTAGTTCCCCTAGCATTTCAGCTTATATGGCTAAAAATTCGATTTTCTGCTTTATCAAGAACAAATTAAAAGAATGTGAAGTCATGTATTTGTTGTCTACTCGGTACTTCTCAAGTGACAGTGTGGAGACTATAACTTAGACAGGTCAGTGGTGGTTTTGCATCTTTTGAAGAACAAAAAAACTCACTAAGGATCCCTGTACCACCTCACATAGCATATGATTTAACAATACTGTGCAAGATGTATATGCTATTAGGCAGGCTTGGACTACCACCATTTATTTAAGATCTGATCATCCTGATGTGACTTCAAATATAAAAAAAAATAGCTCATAGGTATCCTCATTAATTCACTCAGAAATTTGTGTGTTAGGTATTTATTATGCCTTATGGTGTACCTAAGCACTGTCCTAGGCTCTGGGATACAGCAGTGAACTGATGAAAATCCCTGCCTCGTGGAGTTTATATTCTGATGGGGTGTGAGGAATTCAGATGACACAATCAATCAATAAATTATTTAGTAATTGCTATGGATGGAAATGAAGCAGGAGAGGAGAAGGAGGTAATGCTGAGTGACGCCATTTTTAAGTAGGGTAATAAGAGAAGAGGGCTTTGAGAAAGTGGCAGGTGAACCCCAAGAGTTGGAGCCAGTTCGAGGATGGACATGTCACAATCTGGGGGCAAAGAAAGAGCAATTTCAAGGGTCCTGGGGCGGGCATGGGTGTGTGTGTGTGTGTGTGTGTGTGTGTGTGTGCCTGAGCCTGAAGCCCTGTAGCAACAGAAAAGACACTTGCTGCTGACATAGAACAAGGGAGAGAGAGCATGGTGGACAATGAGGTGCAGTGGGAGGATGGGGCCGGTAAAGTAGCGACTTGGAGACAACAATAAGAAGAACCCCAAGTGGGACAGGGAGCACTGAAGCAGTGATGTGTGATCTGACTCAGGTCTGGAGTGGCCTAAACGAACTCACCCCCCTCTGATTAGGACCCTGGTTCGCTATAAAGAGAAGAGAGTGTCTAACTTCTGTCTTTGTCTCTAGAGTCCAAATCTAAATGCAAACATAGTATGTGACACTATGGCCGTGACAGCAATGATCCGATCACACCTTCCCGAAGCCTACCTCAAGGAGGATATTGGGGGCGAGCTTGTTTATGTGCTTCCTCCCTTCAGCACCAAAGTCTCGGGAGCCTATCTGTCGCTCCTGCGAGCGCTGGACAATGGCATGGGTGACCTCAACATCGGGTGCTATGGCATTTCAGACACCACCGTGGAAGAGGTACACTTGGACTTCTCTTTTTATTCTTAAAGCTGATACAGCTTGCTGTTCCCTTAGAATAAACATGTGCAGGTTTTTTAAAAAAAATAAATATTTCACAAAATCAGAACAGTTTAAAAGCATTTCAATCCAGTTCTTATGTAAGACTGACTTCTGAGAATAAAATGTTGCTCCAACTACAGAACACGTATCTTTTTTTTTTTTTTTTTTTTCGCTTTGTTGTCCAGGCTAGAGTGAGTGCCGTGGCGTCAGCCTAGCTCACAGCAACCTCAAACTCCTGGGCTCAAGTGATCCTTCTGCCTCAGCCTCCCGAGTAGCTGGGACTACAGGCATGCGCCACTATGCCTGGCTAATTTTTTATATATATATATCAGTTGGCCAATTAATTTCTTTCTATTTATAGTAGAGACGGGGTCTCACTCTTGCCCAGGCTGGTTTTGAACTCCTGACCTTGAGCAATCCGCCCGCCTCGGCCTCCCAAGAGCTAGGATTACAGGCGTGAGCCACAGCGCCCGGCCAGAACACGTATCTTTTACAAACAAAAATATTCACTTAAAGTCAGATGGAGACTATTTGTCTCAATAAATATGATAATTCAAAATCAAAATTAAGCTTAGACGTTAAAAAAAGACGTGCACTTTTTACATTAATGAAGTGATCTGGTTTCTCTTTCTAGGTCTTTCTGAACTTGACTAAAGAGTCACATAAAAATAGTAACATGAGTCTTGAGTACTTAACGCAAAAGAAAATCGGAAGTTCCAGTACCAACGGCATCTCAACTCCTGACGATTTATCTGTGAGCAGCAGCAATTTCACAGACAGAGACGGTATGCCTCTCGTGTGGATATTTTGCTTAAGTCCAGAAAATGATATCATTGAGAAAAATCACAGGAAAGATTTTGATTTTTTAAAAATTTGACTGTAAACTTTTATTCTACATCCAAAAAACTAAAGAAATATAAGCTTCCTTTTTTATTATAATGTACAAAATATTCATTAAACTGAATCAAATTCTCTATTTCAAAAGTACTTTGAAGAATGTAGAACTCCCTTGATAGGGCAGTAATGAGTATTCCTCTTACCCACCAGAAATCGTTTTCAAGATGTGACTTCTACAATTTCAGATTTATGCTTGAGTTAAAATTCTTCTTGTAATTGGTGCTGTCCAGCAACGCACAAAGTTACCTTGTGAGGTAGTTCACTCCCTGTTACTAGACATGCTTAAGTGAAGACAAGAGTCATCAAAAAAAATAAAAAAAGAAAAAAAATAGTCATCACTCCTTATGGTACCTCATCAGAAAACATGCCTAAACTCCCCCTACTCTGGACCATTCAGGTGCTGAGAAAAAGCTTTTGAAGGAAAGTCTCTGAATTGATTAAATTGGACTTGATGGCTAAGAATCTATAATAATAGGTTCCCCCCAACTCAGCAATCCTTCACACAGGATATATTTGAAAAATCATGTTTCTTGACATGACTTTAAGGGATTGAGCTCTATTGAAAATAATTTTTATGGTCTCTTATTCTCTTTCTGACAGTTAATTTATACCTCTGGAAACTCTATTTACTTAAGGTACCATATAGCAAAATGATATATAAATTATGGAGTAGTCATTTTGACAGTTTGCTTAAACTGGGAAAAATCTCTAGGAACAGAGCTTTTAATTAAACATTTGCCTGGCTTTAAAACTCAGAAAAGATCATCTCTGGTGTTTGGATAATTCGGGGACTTGAGGCAAATATGTCCTCATCTATCATCTTTTGGGGGATACAGCTGTAGAGTCCATGGAACTGAGAACTTTCATTAGAAAATGGTCATCTGCTTTAGGAAGTAAATGCTAAGTATTTGCCTCGACATTTGTCTCATAATTTGAAACTATTCTTCAGTCAAAACATTCCCCTCATTGACATTATCTTTCAGAAAGCACATTTATTCTATTTGATACACCTGTAAGTCATCCACATGTAATTTCTCAAGAAACAGAAAAGCATACTAATTAACTCAAAATATTCAGCTTCTTCTTCAATTCCCTTTTGTGGAGATATGAGTTTGCATTTAAACATGTTCACTCTGTTTAATTGGAATTCATTTTAAATTAAGCAGCTTTGTATTTTTCCTTATCAGCTAAATGAAGATCATGAGTTTTGTGCTGCATAATTTGTGATGGAAAATTTAAAATATACACAGAGTTGAGGAATACCGTCATCTTATCACATATGAAGGAGTGCTGGGTGGCAGGCTTTTGCTGAGAATGCGATATTTGAACCTATTTTTAGAGGGGGCTTCTGGAATTATTAGCCATAAATCTCTACTGAGGAAGCAATGGTTTATGGCCTCCATAGCTGCTGTGACTCTCAGAGCCACAGAATTTTTCTCAGCATCTGAAAAGCATTTCAAAGTACAGGTGGGGGAGAGACATTTTTCCAATGAGTTCTTTCTTGTGACTTTGGCGGTAAAAATGGAGTTTGAAAAGGCCCTAACATCATTCCAAATTTCCAAAGAGAAAAAGTAATGAACAAGTGGTTGAACTAGAACTACACTTTGGAGGAGAGGCTTTTCCTTTTCCCTCACTTGAGGCGAATGCACTGGACCTCACGTTATAGTCAGAGCCAATCAATTAGACTTGGAATCAACCAAATTAGTTACTCATAATAGGAATGAGTTCTTAGACTAGGTTGGTGTTTTAATTTCTACTTATTTGAATTCAATCTCTTGATAGAAATTATCTCTTGAGTATTAGTAAGTAGGAATCCATTCTTAGTACACATTGAGACTTTGAAGTTTGAGAACAATATTCACCTGTGAAATTCTAGATATCTAACTTTGATGTAAAATCACTATGTATGTGGCTGTTTTTTGCATAGGGAGTTAGAATTTTTAAATCATTTTTACATACAGTTCTACATAAGATAGGTTTTATGGTCCTTCATTTTCCCAGTGGAAGGCTCAGGATTAAGGCTGATACATGCATTGCTGAACCTGAAATCCAAATCTTTAAAATATAAGCATTTCCCATGACACCATATTGTACCATCCATCCATAGTTCTTGAAGTTGCTTTATTACTTGATTAATCAAGATTTTCTAGAACTATATCAAATCTCTTTTTCTTAATTAGACAAAATCCTGACAAGAGGAGAGAGATTGGATGGTTTGGGACTATTACTGAAGAAGATAATGGCTATACTCATCAAGAGGTTCCACCACACCCGAAGGAACTGGAAAGGTCTCATTGCCCAGGTTATCCTCCCCATCGTCTTCGTGACCACAGCAATGGGTCTTGGCACATTAAGAGATTCCAGCAACATTTATCCAGAGATCCAGATCTCCCCCTCTCTTTACGGTACCTCCAAACAGACATCCTTCTATGCGTAAGTCTCTTTCCACTAACTAAAAGAATGTTTCCAGAAATCTTCCAGGTGTGTGGTTGTACCTGCATGAATCCCATGGAATTCTAAAGAATAAAGAACTTAGGGCTGTAGTACCTGCTTCTGCTAAAGGAATGGACAGTTTGATGTACTGGAATATGTTATTTCCATTGCCAACAAATAGCTTTTTAAGAGTTTTGGGTTGTTTTTTTTTTTGCATTCTTCTGAAAATAAAGTTATAGTAGATATTTGTTTTTAATGACTAGACTTTAATCAAGAAAGCCAAGTTATGTGTATATTACCTGTTGTAATATACAGAAAATAGTTTTTTATTAGTCTCACAAATATTGACTAGCAATGTCAGAATTCTGTATAATTTTATTTATATAATAGGTGATCACTAAATGCACATGACAATTAGAATGACAAAGCAGCCAAATAGAGACACGTGCATATTTTTTCCTGTGATACTTTTTTTTTCCTGAGACTGCATCTTTCTTAGATTTTTGAGAAAATGGTCCGATAAACAACACGTTTTGTTTCTTCAAATTATTTGTGAGCATGAGTTTAACGTGGCAGACTAGTAGCAGAGTCCCGAATCTGTTTCCATCCTTTAAACATTTTAGGAATTCTCACCCAAGCACGAAAGGACTGGTCTCAGCAATGTGGAACTTCCCTGGAGTTGACAACCTGTGCCTGAACACCAGTGATCCGTAAGTGGTTCTTGCTTTTTGTTTGTTTTCAGCGTTCGATTTTGTGTGTATGCAGGCATATGCGTGCATGTGTGTGTGTGTGTGTGTGTGTGTGTGTGTGTATTTGACTGGAAGAGGGCAGTTCCCTGAAGAAATCTCTATTTAACAGATTTTGACTATCTCCTTTAGTTCATTGCACAGCTATGCTATACTGTAATGATAAACATTAGATGTCATAATTTGTACAGCTCTCTTGTATACATATTTTCATTTAACAATCACAACCTTGTGAATTACAAATCCCACTTTACAGTTGAAAAAACTGAGGCTTGTATAAGGTACTTGTCTAAAGAAATCTAGATAGTAAATTCTACAGCTAAAGCTGAGACCCAAGTTTTCTGATTCTAATTCCCATATGTTCACACTATGCAAGGTTGCTTATTCAAACTTCCAAGATAGTACATAGTACATGCAAACCTGACCTTGGTGTACTATTAATATTATGCTAACGTATTCACTTCCTGTCAGAAGACAGTATGAAAAGAGCAAAGAAAATAAAGGAGACAAAAATCCCCATCTTGACATAGTAAGACAATTCAATAAGGTTTGGTCTCAACACTTTTGAATCAATAAGTGCTCTCCCTCAATCTCCCACCACAAAATGTCAAATCACTAGAAAATGGTCGTACAATGTATATTCAAGTTATGAAATATCAGCAAATTGTACCTAGGACTACACACCTGAATTTAATACCAAGTACTTATTTATATACTCATACATAAAGATAAGAGCACACACACGTCTCATGTCAATATCATTTTTATTTGCAGATGGTGTTTAAAGAAAGAAAGTCTGGGAAAATGGAACACCAGTGGAGAACCTATCACTAATTTTGGTGTTTGCTCCTGCTCAGAAAATATCCAGGTAAAATGGAATTCGGTTGCAGTGAAGTAGGAAAAAGAAGGGAATAAATATTGAAAAGGTCTATCTAAGTTACCAAAGAGTCGGTATAATTTCATTTTACAGAAGCTAGTAGCTCAGAGATATGGACCCAGTAGCTAAAAAAATATTGACTTTGAATGTCAGGTCACTATTTTAAATCCATCTCAAGACAAATTTCCAAGGTAGGTGATTCCTTGATGGTCTTTGTGGAGACCAACTAAAAATGAATTTTTGGTCTCAATTCAGTGCTAACTAGAAGGCTCTATTTTTCACATGAAAAAATGCCACCATAGCTGTCATATTTGAAAATTCAGTGATATTGCCACTGTAGTGGTCAGCTAGGAAGTCAATAATGTGTAGGTCTAGAAAAGAGTTACATATGTCTCTAAGCAAAACCTCTAGGCTATAGGAAAAATCATTTCCTGCAAGAAATAGGAAAAAGTTACCTATCACTTACTCTGTCAATGTTCGATAGGTACAGACCTTTGTTTTCTATCAATTCACCAAGCTTTTAAGAGAACCAAATTCACTAGGGAAGTTAAAGATTGTGGAAGAGTCACTATATTGTTAACTTACTTTCTCATGGGAAGAATCTAGCAATATTTTCTTCAAAGTGACATAGGGTTGTGCCCTGAACCATCTTGGTACAATATTTTAGAGTGAAAATATTTTCAGTAAATGCAACCCATTTTGGTGTTGTCATGCAAGATAGTTACTAACAATAAGAGCTGGGACAACAAGGATCTTTTGGAATCCTTGTATGTTTAAAAATTGGTCTTACCCAGTATTCAGAGTTTTTTTAATCTCTTGTCTAATTTAATTAATTTCTGAAATTCTTCATGTATTTTCTTCAGTTCACAGTAAAAGTTAATTAACTTAATATTTAAAATTAGAATCTGGATAATTTTTAGTAGTCTAAAAATCCAGTAGATTTATAATTTTTTCAACGTATTTTGTCATTTAATTAACATCTCCAGATCTATTTCTACCTGTTTAATAACAGTGAGGTCACTTTGCATAATTGATGCTGTGTACATCAGACATGCACTATGGATAAAGTTCTAAGTTTCTTGAAAGGAAACAAATTATACTGCATGAATGTCAAAAGATTAAGAAAGTAAAAAGGAAATCCACAGTGTGGAAGACAATATTTACAATACACGACAAAGGACTCATGTCCAGAACATATATATAAAGAACTCCTGCAAATTGATAAAAAAAGATAGATGACCCAATAGACAAATTAGCAAAACTATGAAGAGACATCTCACAAAGAATATACACAAATGGCCAATAAATATATTAAAAATAAAGCAATATCACTCCACACTCACCAGTATGACTAAAATGAAGAAGGAGAAAAATTCCAAGTGTTGACAAAGATGAGCAGCAGCTGGAACCCTCTTAATCTGCTGATGGGAATTTAATTTCATACGGTTTTTAAACCTGCTTGGCAATATATACTAACGCTGGAAATACGCGTACCTGTGGGGCCTGCAATGCCACTCCTATTATTATATACTCAACAGAAAAGTGAATAGTGCCCCATCAACTGTAGAATAGATAAGTCGAATATAGCATATTTCCACAATGGAATGCTATCTGAGTGAAGTGAGAATGATTCATCTACAACCACACACATCATATGGAAGATTCTCACAAACATCATGATGAAGGAAAAGAGCCAGACACAAGATAGTATATATTATTCTATGTATGTAAGATATAAAAACAGGTCACAGTGGTTCATGCCTGTAATCCCAGCACTTTGGGAGGCCAAGGCAGGAGTTTGAAACCAGCCTAGGCTGGTTTCAACATAGCAAGACCCCCATCTCTATTTTTAAAAAAACAATTAAAATATTAGCCAGATATAATGGCACACACCTATAGTCTTAGCTCTTTGGGAAGTTGAGGTAGGATGGTCTCTTGAGCTCAGGCTGTAGTTCCAGGCTGTAGTAGCTATGATCATGACACTACACTCTAGCCTGGGTGGTAGAGCAAGACCTCGCCTTAAAAACAAATAACTAAAAGAAAAGAAAATGCAAAAATATGCAAAACTAATCTGTGTCTGATGCTTTAGGAGTGGTAGTGATTTAAGGGAGTGTGATGAGGAAGTTTCTGAGGGGCTAGTATTGCTGTTTCCTGACATGGTAGTTGGTTACACAGATGTGTTCAGTTTGTCAAAATTCATCAAGAATTGCACTTATAATACATGTGCATTTCTAATGTATAATATAATTTAATTTTAAAGATTGCACTGTATACATAAAGATATCTTCCTTTAATTATCTGTGAAACTAGTACCATTCTGGAATGCAATCTTCAAGTTGATACAACTTAATGTAAGAGGAGATCCAGCTCTGATTATTTTTAGAGCAATCTGCAGCTTTATGTACTTGGGACACATATGAGGTGTTACGGAAAAATGCTAGACTTTTCCCAAACTAAACTTCATGGCAATGAAGCATGAGAAGCTACATGAAAAAGTAAGTTGCCAGGAAGTGCAGAAAGCTACAAGCATAAAAATAAGTGTTAAAACTAATGTGTAAACAAATGTACATGGTAATGTAAAGTGTTAACAAAGGAAAGTAGCTAGGGGTGTACAGAAACCCTTTGTACTATCTTTGTGACTTTTCTGTAAATCTAAAATGATTCCAAACTAAAAGTGTATATGTGTGTATATATATCTGGAAGCTTAGCAGCAAAATAACCTTACCCAATTGTGCAAATAATCAAGCTTATAAAAATTTAATCAACTAACAGTAAAAAATATCAAAGTAGTAGCCCCGAAGAATGAGACATGGAGAAGATTAGCAGGAAAAACAGAAGGGATGAATGTCATTTCTCTCATTGCATAAAATGCCCAAAGTTTAGATGGCTGTTCTTGACTTCAGAAGCCAGTGTTGGACAAGAGCCCCAGATGTGTAGGGTCCTGCCTGGTGATTATGGTGAAATTGTCAAGTTGTTTGTTCAAGATGATTAGCTCAAAGGGTTGGAGAGTAATAACTGTATATTCATTTTGTTAATGTAGCCAGTGAAGGTCTGAAATGTGTTTGTTGTAGAAATCAAATCTAAAAGAAAGTAATACTGCTCTGGACTTAATAGGAACTTTAATGTTAAGAAAGAATCACACACACTTTCCTGAAGGTTTAACTTACTACTTAGATATTGTTCGTTATATTGAGCTATTCCTTTAAGAGTCCACCCCCCCCCCCACACACCGAACTTAAATTACCACCATCTTTGTATACATCTTTTTTTATATTTTTGAGACAAGAAGCTCACTGGTGCCCAGGGTAAGTGAGGTGTCGTGGCAGTCCAGCCTAGTTCACAGCAACTCAATCCTCCTGGCTCAGCTAATCCAACCCTGCTCACCTAGACTGGGACTACAGGCATGCCAACCATGCGTCCGCTAATTTTTTGTCTATATATAGTTAGTTGGCCCACTTATTTTATTTCTATTTATAGTAGATACGGGGTCCTCGCTCTTTGCTCAGGCTGGTTTCA